TTATTACACATCCAATAGCAACAATAACTGAGAAAATTCAAAGTGTTATATCTACTTCACCCAGCGAAGAAGCAACGTCCGATACTACAAAACCTTCTACTAGTACATCAGAAGAAGTAGAAACTTTGAAAGAGCAACAAGTTATTGAAACAGAAGTGAGTTTGATATTAAATATTTATCTAACAAAGGATATTCGATATTTAGACTTTGCCTACCACCGAGCAAAAAGTTGAGACTACTGAAACAAAAACTACTCTCGAAAATATACGTGATATTATCACACATCCAATAGCAACAATAACTGAGAAGATTCAAAATGTTATTACTTCTTCAACTACTGAAGAAGTTACAATATCCGAACAACAGGTATGTTGAATTTGAAAATTTTATCATATTAATTCATTGCGCTATTCAGCCTTCAACAATTCCTATTGATCAAAGTAAATCTGAAGATATTAGATCAACAACAGCGGAATCAAATATTGACATGACTCAAAATATTGTACCAAACACCATTGATCAAACTTCTTTACATCAAGAAAAAGAACAAATATTAACAAATCAATCATTGGAATCATATTTACAAGATCAAATTCCAGGTCAACCAGATATAACTTCAACAACAATATCTTCTCAAGTAAGAATCAATTTAATCATATTCGAATATTTCTTAATTATTTAATTAAAGATTTCTGATAATGAAAAACCAATACAAAAAATTGAATACGAATATGAACGTCCTATAAATGAAGATGTTCAAGACTTAGCTTCACTTAAAACTGATGTATCAACTATTGATGAAACTACTTCTGAAACATATGATCTTCTTACTAATATTGTTCATAATTTAATCAGGGATATAATTAATACTGTCATATATCGTTTAAATCAAATCTCAATTGATAATGAACAACTTGATAAAGAAATGTTTTCTTCTGATAGTAGTCTTACTAGTTCAATAACAGTTATAAATGTTGAAGATAAATCTGAAATTAGTCAATCAACAATAAATCAAGAAACATTAAAAAATGAAGAAGATATTATTGATAATAAAATGTTAACATCTGATATAACTTGGGCAAATCTACTAGGTGAAAAACCTTCCGATGATGAAAAAATGAATCAATCATTTGAACAAATTAAAGAATTACTCGAAGAAATTGTTCAATCATCGGATGGTATAACGGTTGAAATCGTAGATCAAAAAACAACAATTACACTTCCAAATCAAACACAATTATCACCAACTATTGAAAATACAATTCACCAAACAACAATTATACCTCAAGTAAAAAAAACAATAAAAAAAGCAAATCTTCAATTCTTATTTAATAAAATCTTTTGTTTTCTTTTTTTCTTCAATTAGACTGATGATATCATACAACGATCAAGTCATGACATTGGATCAGATTCAGTAAAACAAAAAAACAAAACCTTTTTCAATAATCTTCAATTTCTCGGATTTTTCTTTTTCTTATAGATATTACCAATTACAGAAATTGAAAATGTCTCATCAAAATTATCAACTGAATTTCGTGAATCATCACCAACAAATATTGAAGATGATTCACTTGAATTAATTCATGCATTACAAGGACATAGTATGATTCTTCCTGCTTCTGAACTTGTTCAAATACAAACTACTCAACTACCTATATCAACTTCATTTATAGAAAAAGTTGATACACAAACTTCTCAAGGACCAGAAAAATCTTCAAGTTCAACAACATCATCACAAGTAACAAGTTCAGATCGATATGTTTCATATGCCATACATGAAATGGGTGATTCATCACAAGAACGTTTGCCAGCTTTTCCTGTAGCAGCTGATATTCCTATCTATGAATTAGTCAAAACATCACCTGATGAAAATAAAGAACAACAAAAATTATCCGAACCAATTGTTAATATCAATCAAAATATAACAAAAGATGATGATCTAACTGAATTGGATGCAACAGAAAATTTAAATTATTCCGATGATGTACTTTTACAAAAACTTTATACTTCAGCTCCAAATCGACAAGAAAATTTAGATGCTAGTAGTACAGATGAAGATGTTGATGATGAAAATTTTAGTGAATTTGAACAACATGATATATCAAATCTTCATCGTATTGTAAATGAAGTAATCCAACACAATGATAATTTATCGCAAGAATATGGACCAACTTTTCAACGTTATGATGTTTCAAGTAATAGTTCAACATCAACAAAATTACAATCAGATGATGTTTATATCATACCAGGATATGCTGGTTTATGGAAACCATCACCTGATGTTAACGATAGTAGACATTCACCATTAACTCATGATGAAGATGATAAACAACAATCTGCTATAACTACAGTTAAAACTCGAGTAAGCTGATAAGAATTATTGACTTTTTTTTTTAAGTCAAAATCTTACCAATTAATCAATGCTTGAAAAGATTCTTTGTTTGATATAGATAAGAAAAAATTTTTTTAAATGTCTGAAGTTATTCGAAATAGTATCAAATTCATTGATTATTCTTTTTATATTTGAAAAAAGATACGGGAATATTATTGAATATCATAACCTTTTTTCTTTTGTTTTGTCTTTGTTCAAGGCTAAGGAAAAAAACAACAACAATATTTTTATCTATTGATTTATTAACATAAATATTTGTACAAAAACTTTTATAAATGCAATTGATAAAACTAATTATCAAATATTTTTGTACATTCAAATTATTGAAAATTTAAGAACATGATTAAAGGCCTGTCGTCATTTGATATTTACATATATCTTTGATTAAGATAGATTAGTTATATTTCGGTTTTTTTCTTTTTTTTTCTTCTTTATGACCTTTCTTTTATCGTTCATAAATGTTATAAATTGAAAAGAGTAAATCATTTGTATATATATATATATACATATTTTTTTTTTTATCTAGACAATTGTTCGAACAACAGATCCTACTAAACTTCAATCATTTTTACAACAACAACAGCAGCAGCAGCATCAAGATACAATAACTCAAGATATATCACTTCGATCAGATACATATGATATATTTAATCGACCATTAAATGAATTTCCATTTGATGTATCAGAATCGGATAGTTTTAAAACTTGTGCATCAACAATAAATTCATCATCAATATCAAAACAACAAAAACAATCAGATTTACATAATTTACCTATAATTGAACAAAAAGAACCTCGAACAAGTCCAGACGAAAAAATAATTCTTATACGTGAACGTGAACGTGGTGTTTCATTACCTGTTACTATGAAAATAGATTATGATGATATGGCATTACGTTTATCATCATCGACACCAATTGATGCTAAATTATATTCTACAACACAAACAGATTTACCACCACCACCGCCAACACCACCATCATCAACCACATTTAGTGAATTAGCAGAAACCGCAACATCAAGTAGTCGTGCAAGTACACAATCATTAAGTAGTAATGAAAGTGAAAAACAAAAAATTCCTTCACCATCTTGGTTAAATACAACTAATACCACTATAACAACCATTGAAGGACCTGATGGACGTAAGTAATAAAACATGTTAGATGAAGGAGACAAATAAAACGAAAATCAATGTCGTCAATCAAATGTTAATGTGTTTGCATATAATAAATAGACAGAGATCATATGTCTATCGTTTTACTTTTTTCTTTTCCTACAATGATACTCTATTCATTTCACATACAATGTTCTTTGGCTGCTAATGCATCAAACATTCGATCTCAAGTAGTATAGTTGCCATTGCTGCGCGTGTGCATACTTGAACTACATCAATGTTATGAGCGAGCTTTTTTTTAACGAATATGTTCCTTCTTTCTTTTCTACGGTTTTACCTTTTCTCGTTCTCTTTTCAAGTAGTTGCGATTACTTGTGCATATAAACCTATGCAACACAATGTGATAGTTTTATTTAGAAAAAAAAAATAATATTTATGTCGACTGTTCACTTATCAGTCTATGTAATTGCATATTGCGGACAGTTATGAGACAGTTGCATCACATGTCTTCAGTTTCTTTTTTTTCTCTCTTCATATTCTATTGAAACATTGTAAAAAAAAAAAACAAGGACTAATAGCAGTTGATGGAAGCCTATGACATGTCCTTCGACTGAATATATATATATGTATGTCGTTATGTTGGCATTGTAAAAAAAAAAGAGAGAAAAAAACTAAAAAGTCAGTTTCTCTATTCATTTCAACAAAGGAAGAGCAGAAAAAATTTGTTACATTTTATCATTATATGAAAAGTATACTTGTTTCATTTGTTGCTGTGTATGTTTATCTACCGTCAGCATGCGAGCATGCATATACTGACGTGATTGTTTTCTACCACCATCATCATCACACAACCTCTATAACGACGAAACGAAAGAGAAAATGGAAGAGGAGAGAGACAGAGAGAGAGAGAGAGAGGAAGAGAGGAAGAGAAAAAAAACCGAAAGCAGAGAGAAAAAAACGAAGGCTGCTTCAGCATTGTCCACTATTTGAGATCATTCTACTTTTGCGTATGGTATAACAAAAAAAGTCAAAGGCGTATAATATCGAAAGAGAAGAGAAAAAAAAACGTAACATAAAACATAATGGCGACAGCAACAGCATCGGTTAATAATACAACAGGAACTTTTATGTTTCATCCTCGACCAACCGTTTTTGAACATCCTATAACATATGATCTTCCTTCATTAAATAATTCAACCTCAATAATAAATAACAAATCTGATATAAATGATTTTTCTCAATATTATATTAGTGAGCAATTATTTTCGATTTATTTATTTATTTATTTATTTGGTTTTTTAATTTATTCTTCTAAATAATTTTTCTTTTAATAGCTCTTGAATCTCGTACAACGATTCATAAATCAGCTAAAGGACCAATATCTATTGCTGAATGTGATGTACAAGGAAAATATATTATTATTGAAAATACAAGTCGTTCAAAAAGTATGGTACTTACTGGTTGGATTATACGTCAAGAAAGTGATAACGGAGATATTTTAACATTTACACTTCCTGATAATTATCTTTTAAGACCAAATCATTCATTAAAAGTAAAAAAAAAAAAAAGAAAAAAATTCGAAATAATTTATTTTCTAAATTATTTATATTGTATATTAGATTCTTACTAAACCAAATGAATCAGAAAGAAAAAATCATGATCTTATTGCTTCGTCACTGTCTTCATGGCATACAGGTTTAAATTTTGTTACAACATTGATCAATGCCGAAGGCAAGGTAAAATATAAACACTTTGAATTTGATGTCTTTCGGATACATATATATATATATAAAGGCAAATTGATAGTCTTATAAGTTGAAATATTTGGCAAGAAAAAAAATCGAAACAAAAAAGTATATCAAAATCAAAGATTACCTTAGATCATTTTGATATAATGTTTTTTAATGATGAAGAAAATTTAATGATGTGATTTTTATTTTTAGGATCGTGCTTCATTAACCAAAAAGACAATATTCTCTTGATAAATGATTAGATCCATCGTTTTTTTTTTGTTTTTCTTTTCTTTACCTGTACCTACATTATTTTGGCTTTTAATGTCAATTTTTCATTTCGTTTTTCTTTTTTTTTTTGTCTATGTATAATTGCAAACAAACATTTTGTCTTTTCCAAATAATATTATTAATCACCCTCACACATATTTTGTTCATGCACAACAAAAAACATGATAAAAAACAAATTGGATAGCTTATAGTGAAATTTCTTTTCATTCATTCTTTCATTTCTTTTTTTTTCTGGTTTTATTAATTTTACATAAACCCTGACTTATGTTTTGTTCGCTATTGTTCTTTTGGTCTTCCATTAATAATTATTAAGCTATATCAACATTGCTATTTGATCGATCACATCGACTGTTATTAATATTAGATTCTTCATCATTATCATTACATTCATCTTCAGTTTCAATATACAATCGTTTGTAATTAAGTATTACTGACAAAATACTACTTAAGACAAATATAAGCATAAATATCATTAATACACGTGGTCCCCAATGTTTATAAAGAAAACCAACTGTTATTGGACCAAATGCTCGTGCTAAAGAACCAGCACTAGTAAATATACCCATCATTGTACCTTGTGGACGATCACCAAGTTTTTTTGAAAATATTGAATAACAAATAACATTACAAATTGAAAAACCAATTGTTATAACAATTGATGCTGTTATATATTGCCATAATTGTACACGTGGTACTGTATAACACCAATGATAATCAAGTGGACAACCTTTTTCATCTGTATCAGCTGTTGTTGTTGATAAACTAGATGATAATGTTGTTGAGAATGGAATAGATGTTACAGGTGTAGGTGTATATGCTAGAAGAGAAATAAAACAAAATCTATAAATAATCAATGAAATGGAAATTTTATGTGTTAAAATTTACAAGCAATTTGAATGCTTGGATAATCGGTACCCCACGGCAAAAAAATAAAATAACCAAGAAAGGATATAATCATACCAAGTAATGCTAATGCACGATCTTGAAATCTATTTGAAATATATTTTAATTTTAGAATTTTTCTTTTAATTAATAATATTACCGTTTAGCTAATAATTTCGTAAATATTAAAACTACAACTGACATACAACCAAGTGCACCAAGTAAATAACCATTATTTCTTGTACTTTGTTCTTTTGACCATGCATACATATCAATTGAAAGTGGTGAAGCTATTCTAAAAAATAAAATGCAAATAATGTATATATATATGTTCTAGACAATCTCTTATGATAAGAAAAACACAACATAACATACGTTTCATAATTTGTAAATGTTAAATAAGCAACAAAAAACATATAAAGACAACATGTAATAGCGAGTGTTTGATCACTACGTTCAGTTGATGATAAAACTAAAAAATAAATAATAGAATTTCTTTTTTTGAAAAACATTTTTTCAAATAATAAACACTTTCTGATGACCTTCCACTGAGAGTTCTTCTCGCTGACAAAACAATTCGTACATCTTTAAATGTAATTAAGAATAATATAAGATTAACAGCACCCGTTAGAGCACTGAAAAAAGCTGGAGCCGTATAAATATTAAGATAGAGCTTTGAAAACAAAAAAAAAACCATAGTGTAAGAATAAATTTATTCATTAGAATAATAAGAAAATATTTTACCCAGGATTTATGTACAGGGCCAGGATAACTAAGAAAAGCAAAAAGAGCTTGAATTACTAAATTAAAAAAAAGGCATATATATATATACATTAATCATAATCAAATTTTAGTTTATTATTTATTAAAATTACGAGGTCCAAGAATAAAACCCACTCCTTGATAAGCCGATAAATTAGCCATAACACCTGTTCGTTCTGTAAGTGTTGTTGCTGATGAAGCATATGATCTCATTATCGTTGAATTAGCTAAAAAAAAAATATTAAAACAAAATCCTAATACAAATATTTCTGTTCATCAATAACAATTAATATAGACCTGCACCAATTCCCATAATAAAACGTGCCAACATAATCCACCATTTATTTGAAAAAACAAAATTATTTAGGCTTTGTACATAAGCATAAAGAAGATTAGCTACAACAATCAATGCTGTACTTAAAACTAATGGTAATTTATTGTTGTTAGTTCGATTTGCTACATAACCAATTATAGGTGATGCTATTAATTGACCAAGAGAAAATGAAGCAACAAGCCATCCAAGAAAAGTTGCATCAGCATCAATATCAACCTTAAAAACAATTAAACAAGAAATAATAAAAAAACAAAAGAATATAGAGAAATATACGATTTGAAGAAAAGGCCAAAGTGATGAAACGGTTATACTGAATACAATCGAACTAACAAACATGCCAAAATAACAAATACGTATGTCACGAAATCGTTCGTTTCTTGTAGTTTCATTAAAAAGTGTCGCTGAACGAGTTCGAGTACTAATGCAAAAGAAAGAAAATAATTAAGCAATTTAAATATTATTTATTTATTTCATTAAAATTTCATACGAATCTTCTCGAGTTGAAGTTTTTGCACCATTTATCTGATTATCTAATAGTGACGATGTTTCATTGCTGTTTCTTGCCATATCTGGACTCATTCAAATGACACTTTTTGTCTATAATGAGGAAAAAAGATCAGCTGAAAGTTTACATATAATAAGATAAAAACATATATTTCATCAAAATAAACATATCTATGATATTGTTGTTCTTAGTATGAAAATGACTCTTATCTTAACTTTTTCTTTCTGATTATCAAAGTTCACGTTCGAAACTCAAAACAAAACATGACTTAGTCGACATTAATGATATCATTTTGTCCAACAGAAAAAAAAATATATATATACTGGGTGTCCCAAAACTCGTGCCCACTTAAGAATTGCGTATAACTCCTTTATTAATCCAAGCTTAATCTAATAATTTTTTTTATTTGAAAGAGAAGAGCAGTGAGATTTTTTTCATAAAGATAAAGTTCATAAATATTCTTCAAAAGTAATATCTTTGACTTCAATATAAAAAATTTACATGTTTTACAATTAAAAAAAATCATGAAGCATTTTATTTTTATTCTATCAATTTCTATAGTTATATAGATAGCAATCCAATGGCGTAAAGTTTAGTGATCGAGAAGCCCATGATATTGATTCACTTCTTCCGACCTATTATCAATAATCAAACACTAACCCAAAAGAATTATTTCATAATATTTCGAAATTTCTTTTGTCTGATTTGACAGAAGAAATGGTTGAGTAACTCCTCCATCATTTTTCAGTAAGATAGAGCATTCGCCCATTTCTCCAAATCGATTCGTGTGTGGCTGAACGAAATCTTCTATGGGAGGTGAGTCAGAAAATGTGGACTAACAACATGGACCTCTTAATCATTACATTTTACACCATTGAACTGCTATCTATGAGTCTGTCTCAAACGAAATGTCTACAATATAATCGTAAAAGATTTCTATGATTTAAAGCCGCGAATAACTATCGAAATCGATGTAATAAACATAAAACATTCCATGATTTTTTTTTTAATTGTAAAACATGTAAATTTCTTGTATTGAAGTCAAAAGTATTACTTTTGAAGAATATTTATGAACTTTATCTTTAAGAAAAAAAAGACTTACTATTCTTCTCCTTCAAATAAAAATAAAACTATTAGATTAAGGTTGGATTAATAAAGGAGTTATACGCAATTCTTAAGTGGACACGACTTTTGTGATACTTTGTATATTTAAAACAAAAAATTAAAATAAAATTAAAATAAATAAATCAGACTTGACAATAAAGTTACAATTGAATGAATATATACAACAAAACATCAGACATTTGAGATTCTTTGAAAATAGTATGTTACATCAATCATAGTTTTACGAGCAATTTGTTGCTTTTGTGGTTGAAAATGTCTTCGAATAATAGTACTATTAGTAATTGTTGAATCAATTGATTTTCGAGAACGAAGAAGTTGAAGAGCCATAGGTGATGTTCGTATTTCTTTTAATCGTTGTTCAAAATCAGTATCACCTGGTAAACAATTTAAATTAGATGCTGTTGTACGACGATCAATTGGATGTCCTATTGTATCTTTTGTTAAATGCATTTTAATAGCAATACTACGAAATAATCGTTTCAATTCATGACGAAATGCTTTACCCGTAATAGCATATAGAAAAAAATTTATCTTAAAAAAAAAAAAAATAATTAAATTTCTTTTATTTTCTAAAACAATAATAAATTATATCGAAACAAAAAATTAAAAACAACTTACACAATGATTTGAATATTGTAATGTTTCACATAATGGTTTAAGATATGATTGTGCAAAATCTTTATATTCATTATTTTGATCTATATTTGTATATATTTGTAAACAAACCATTGGAAATGAACTTAATAAAAAAAAGAATGTTACAGCTAAAAGCATTATTGTTAATCTTTTTGACATTGATGTTAATAATTTATTTTTATGACGTGTTATTTGTGATTGATAAATTTGTAAATTTGATGTTGAACGTCGTGCTTGAAATAAACTACGTACAATAATTAAATTTATTGTTAATAATAATATAAATGGTAATGCTGAATAGACAGCTGCATCTATCCATGGCCATATATGATGAATAAAAAATTCATAACGTTCATGATGTGTACATTCTTTTTCACTTGATAAATGATGTGTAAATAAAAATTGAATATTAATTAATATAATACATATAACAAGAATAAAAACAGATATACGTGCACGTCGTACTGTACATATTGAATTAGCATGAAGTGGACGTGTTACAGCTATACAACGATCAGCTGACATCATACAAACAAGCCAAACACTAACATCGGCTACTGTATAAAATAAAAGTGAAAGAATTTTACAACAATATGTTGATTTTAATAATAATGACCATTGTCGATTTACTAAATAAAGCCACATTAAAGATAGACCAAGAAGTAAAACAATTGTATCAGCTATAGCTAATATTCCCATATAATAACATGTTGAAAGATGGGATAAACGTCGTCGTCGCATGATTACAAATACCAATGTATTACACACAACACCGGTTAAAGCCATACATGGAAAGAGTATAAAAAAGATTTGTTTAGCAAGTGTAGCCGATGGTAATGTATTTGTAGAATCATTTGACACTAGTGTCAAATTAGTATTGAATATATGAGAAGATTCCTGATGAGTGCTCATCGAACATAATATAATTCTTTCACTATGAATATAGAGAAATTAAGCTCTCTATTTTCTTGACTATAACAAAAAAGAAAAAGAACCGATTTCATTATGACTAATTAAAATTAACAAATGTATGAAGAATAAAAAGATGATCATGATTTAGTAAAAGAAAAAGACTCTTTAAAATATGGAATACAAGTTAATAATATAAGTACAGAAAACAGAAAGGATGACGTTGAAATGAACGAGCGAGTGATGATTATATGAATGAATAAATCGACGAGAGAAATTCTGCTTTTGAAATCATCCGAGATCAAAATATAAAATACAAAGAAAAAAAAACGATGGAGCAGCAATGACAATCCGCATCAAGTTTTGTCATTTGTAACAATGCGTCTGTTTTCTTTTTCTTTTTATTTCTATTTTTGTTTCTTGTGTCTAAACAGAAAAAAGAAAATTTAGAACCATAGTCTAGATAGCGGGTTTTTTTTTTGTTATTTTTAATATATTACTATTATGTCCTTAATTATTGCTATATATACCTACACATGCAATCCGAAGAATTCCATTAACATCATGTGATACAGAAAAAAAAAAAAACTTTACCTGATTTTTCTCTATTGTCAATGCCCTAAAGGTTGTCTGTTTCTTTCTTCTTCTTTTGCCTGTAAAAGATAGCATGATATTTTTTTAATATCTAAATTCCTTTTTATTTCCTGAAATACACTCAGTAGTAAAAAATCAAAACAAAAGTGTTTCGATTTTGTTTTTTTTTCTTTCTTATTATCTAAAACTAGAATTTCTATGTTTTCGTTTTTTTTTTCTACATAATTTTCTAATTGATGTATTTATTAGAATATTTTCTTTCATTTTATTTTCTCTTGATATAAGATCTAGTCTTCGATTATTTGATTGATGAAAAAAAAAAAAAAAAAACGAGGACAACCATCATAACGATTCTCTTACTTATTCGTTTTTCTTTTTTGCCACACACACTCACTTTGAAAATTATCATTGACCGTCAATACATATTAATATGCTCTTGTTCATTAAACCAAAATTAGAATTCTTATTTGATTCCAAATAAAGATGAAACTATGAATGATGGAATGAAATAAGAGATTATGTTAAAAAAAAAGGAAAAGAGATCACAGCTGGCGATAGATCTTCTATTTCAATCTTTTGCCGCGTTTGATGAAAAGTGATGAAAGAATATATATATATATATAAAACAAATAATATTTTCATCTTTTATGATTACCATGAATAGATGAAGAGACACTTTGGACAATGAAAATGTCTGCAATTCTAATCAACTGAACATAGAAAAGTTTTGTCTCTATAATAGGTAGTCGGCACGTGTAAAAAGAAAAAAAAAAATTTTTTTTTTCAAGTGATTTTTATCATCATCATTAACTTCCGCTATCCGGAAAGAAAGAACAATACGGTGTGTTCATGTTTCTTAAATGCATTCGCGTGTGTGTGTGTATGATTTCAAAGAATTTAATTCCAATGATAACTGCAAGTAAAAGTGTATATGCGGCACTTTTATTCTCTTATTGAAGTGATCCTCAAATATACAATAATAATAAAGGACGATAAGCTACCTTAATAACTCGTCCTTCATCTTCTCTTTCTCTCTCTCTCTCTCTATTTCTAGAGCAATTAGATTGTACATAATAAGCAATACAATGATTGGTTTATAAGAAGAATAAGAGAAGAAAAAACAAGAAAAGGAAACGTATGATCTTCTACCATCATTTACCAATTATTTTGTTTCAAAGTAAAATCATGAAACGCGTTAATACATATGAAAGTGGTGGTGATTCTGATGATGAGTTTATCGAGTACGTATTTTGACTTTAAAAAAAAAAAATTTATTCTTTTATTTCTCGGTAATAACTACCATCTTAAATCTATTTTTTTGTTTTCGATACTATCTTAAGAAGCAAAAGAAAAAAATAATAAAAATTAATTATAGATTAAAAAAAAAAAGGACTTATTCAACAAAACTCTTTTGAGATTGAAGAATATGAAAGTGATGCTATTTTCTAAGAAAGAAAATGCTATATCTATAAATAATAAAATAAGAATAAAACGGAAGCTAACAAAAAAAAAACTTTTTTTTAATTCACACTAGAAGTATATAGTTGTTTGAAGAATGTCTAAGGACTAAGAAGTAGAAAACCCATCTCATTTCACAAATACACAGTTTCATAATTCTTATAAAAAGAATCATGATATTCACACTACTGTTTTTGTATTCTCACATTAATATTAATGTGAATATATGAGTATGAAAATTATTACAAGAAAAAAAAGCTTTTATGAATGATGGAGCTTTGAAAGAACTAATTACTAATTAGCGTTTCTCACCTCCTCCTCCCTTTTCCTTCCCAATGAATTATTATAGGTCTATTGAGAGAGTTTCTCTAGAGTTTAGAAATTCATATATTTCAAACAATTTTATTTCGATTTAGTTCAAGTTTAAGTCCAAGAGATTATGAATATGAACATGTAACTAATAGAAAAAAACGTCGTGGTGTTATTGAAAAACGTCGTCGTGATCGAATAAATCATTGTCTTATGGAATTACGAAGACTTGTACCACAAGCTATATCAAAAGAAGGTTCAGCAAAACTTGAAAAAGCTGAAATTTTACAAATGACTGTTGATCATCTTCGTTCATTACAACAAACTAATAAAGGTATTTTATATGAATTTTATTCATTTAAAATGAAAGATTTTTTATTATTATTAATAGATTCAAATACTCCTTGTCAATCATGGCCAATATTTGATGCACATGCAAGTGGATTTCGTGAATGTATTGATGAAATATCTCGTTATTTAATCTCAGTTGAAGGTTTTGATGTTCAACATCCATTACGTTTACGTCTTTTATCACATCTTGAATGTTTTACTGAACGAAGTACAAGTCCATCATCACATCAATCATGGCCAATATTACATCAACAAACTCCAAGTGCTTTTGCAACACCACCTTTATCATCTTATTCATCATCAACAATTGGATATCATCATCATCAAACTAATTCAAATTTTAATATGCATCATTATCAACGACCACCTATTGAGTCATCTTGTCAATTGCCACCACCGCCATCATCATGTATTTAATTGATTCTTCTTCTTTTTTTTTTTCTCTTTAAAAACATACTTTGTGTTTTTTTTTCTTGACTGTTTATGTATTTTGTGTGAAATACTAAGTGCTATAAAAATTGCTCACTAGAGATTCATTTTCTCTTGTGTGTGGGTGTTTTTTTTTTCTGTTTTAAGTCGATATCAGATTATCATTAGTCATAAAAAAAGAAGAGAGAAAGAAAAGAAAAAGTAATCATGTGTGTTTATAGAGAAATAAATGCAAATGTGTATGTTTGTATTTTTTCTAGAAGCTAATTAGACGATGAGAATGGAAGAAAATTAGAACAATATGTATACAGATGGTTTATTATCCATTTATACAAGAGCACTTATGTTGGATTTATCAAATGGAGAGATATTATCGGATATTTTCAGATGAAAAAGAAAAAATTAAATCAAATAAAAGGATTGATTATGTTCGAATGTTAAAGCAAAGAATATTTTGTCATATTTTTCTCGACATTGTATAATGAATTTCAATATTAATGAGGGAAACATTCCATATGCTCAATGTTGAATCAGTTTATAAGTAGATTTCTTATTATTGTTGTCAGAGGATTATACGAATCTTGATAGATAATTATTCTAATTTAGTATAACTGCAGTCCATCAGAAAAAAAAAACAGAATATATTGTCTTTTTACTCAAAGACCCTATGTATGGCAATGAAAACATACTACGCAGATTTTAATCATAGAGATCTTCTCTATGTTGCAAAATAAATGTTGTCCAATAGACAAAATCAATAGCTCTATTGATTGATCTCAAAATTGTTTTTGGAAAAATTCATAAGAAATATTTCAGAACAATTATATAATTAATATTTTAATAATGTTTAATTCTAAAAGGATAAGATTTTTATGTCATTCTCAATAGTGTATTATGTCAATCAGACATATTCTTGAATAAAACAAACAAACAACCTAAGCTTCACTTTGTTTACATTGTATATTCATGTACAATAATCGGTTATTTACAAAATCATAATGTCAGATATTCTTTTTTTTCTTCTTCTAATATCTCAATTTTAGTCACAATCCTTAGATTGAAAACAAAAAAAAGAATTTCTTGTTGATAAATAAATCTTCTTATTTTTTATTGTCGCAGATTTTGTTGTCTTTTAATATGTAAAACAAACATTTGAAACCCGGATAACAAGATTAGATATAAATAAATGAAAATGTTGAATGATGAAATCCAGACTAACAAGATAACAAAAAAAAAAGCCGTTCGTTTCTTTAGATTTTCCTTTAATAACTTCGTCCAAATAATGTATAATATTTTGCTTGAGTTTTACAATCTGGATGACAACATAATTGATTTTCAGCTATTTTTTCCGGTTGTTCAAATGGTATACATAAACCTTTAGCACCCATAGCTGGTGCACCTTCTTCGACAACAGCATCGCTAAAATAAATTTTTAAATCAAAACATGAAAATAAGAAAATTCTTTTTTCTTACCGTGCACTGTCTTTTTTAATTCGATCTTCACATACTGGTTCACCACAGAATGGTGCTAACATTAAACATGAATTATCAAGACCTTTTAATAAACTAGCCCAATCTTTAACAAGTATTGTATGACTGTCAAATTCATCTTTTGCTCTAGAAAAGAATATATTTGTTGTTGTTTTTTTTTTTGTTAAATCAATATAAAAAAGAAATTTTGTATTTTCTATTACTTTTTATATAAATCATTATGCATTTGATTAAGCGTTTCATGTAATTTTGTTTCACTATTATCAATTGGTATTGTTGATCTAGCTCCTGTATGTCGAAGTACAATTGTTAATTGCGAACGTGCTTTATCTTTTGGACCAATTTCAATACGAATTGGGACACCTAAAAATAAAAACTTTGTTTTTTATAAAAACAAAAACGAAAAATCTATATGTTAACCTTTCATTTCCCAATGATTAAATTTCCATCCTGGTGAATAATTATCTCTATAATCACCATATACACGTAATCCAGCCTTTTTCAATTTTGTTTCAACTTCTTTACATGTATTAATTAATGCATCTTCATCTTCTTTTGATAATGATGCTGTTATACCACATGGAACAATAACAAGCTAAACAGAAATAAAAATATTTTCTTTATATAGAATAAATTCAAAGTTAAATCGAGTTGTTATTCAAGTTTTTCTAAGAATTACAAAAAGTCTAAGCACAAGAAATTTGAGAGAGAAATTTCGTTCACATATATTTGTAATATTAGAAGTGCTCTGCATGTTTGTATCAGAGATGTGCGGGGCATTGATTTTCCATGCCCCGCGGGGCCCGCCCCGTAAAATTCACAAACCCGTCCCGTCCGAACCCCGTGGATATTCTTTTTGAGAATCCCCGCCCCGCCTGTGCCCCGGCAAATCTATACCCGCTCCGTCCGTACCCCGCACAGGCAGCTTCTTGAACCGGCCCGCCCGACCCGCCATTTTTGTGACGGGCCCCGACCCGTCCCCGTGTAACCCGAAGAAATTTTTTATTTACCAAATACTTTATTTTTAATGATGCATTCCTTTTATGAATAATCATTTTTTACAAAAGCAAAACTCAAGTCTATATGAGATGGTTCTGAATGATTCACTTTGTGATTGTCGACAAGCACGTATTTTTCTGGTCGTTCTTTTAAAAACATTTTTATATTTGACGAATTACATTTAATATTACTCGATGAGCAATGACTGAAAGATGAAGAAATAATTGTAGATGAACGATCAGTATTCGACGAAGCTGTCCTATCAAGTGATTCATCAGGAGATAAATCATGTAATTCGATCATACTTAGGTCTGACCAAAAGTTCTGACAATATTATATAAAAATATAAAGATAAGTAGGCATCTTTAATTTTATTTTATCAAATATTGAGGACAGTTGCCATGATTATTTATACCAAGTTCGATCCTTTGCAACAATTTGTTAAAAGTTTTTTTCGAAAAAATTTTTAGATATCGCATGGGCTTATCATGTTTCATTTATTTAATCAGTTAAACTACATTTAATAGAATTAGTTAGCGAAAATTTACATAGTATCAGGCCTGGCGGATATGATATCATATTGATGCCTTCTTCTGTCATGCAATTAATAACATTAGATGAGTATGAAGTCAACGATGACCGTCAATCAATTTTGTACATTTTGAACCTGATGTCTCTGTTTGTTTCCATATTTCATTAATAAAATGTTTTGGAGAATTTTCAGTATAATACTTGTGACTTACAGTCTTGCTTTTATCTACATTCAGGAGTATTTGATTTAAAGAATATACCAAACAAAGCATTTTCTAAAATCTTTATTCATGAACAATAGTCTTTGACGATTCATCTTCAATAAGCCATCTAGCATCGGATAACTTATGACTAACCTATCTAAAATAAATCTATATCTCATCACTAGCAGTACTAGAATGCAACTGATATGATCGAACAAGATTTTGCTAACTTTTCACAATAAATGAAATATGATTAGCTCATGCGGTATCCATGATACCTAAAAATTTTTTCGAAAAAACTTCAAAAAACTTTTAACTAATCGTTGGAAAGGATCAAACTTGGTATAAATAATCATGGCAACTGTCCTCAAAATTTGATAAAATAAAATTAAAGATGCCTCCTTATCTTTATATTTTTATATAATGTTGTCAGAACTTTTGGTCAGACCTAAGTAGTAATTCACAAAAAAATTCAAACGATAATTCTAAATATAAAATAAGTTTTAGTCCAGTTATTCACTTAATATAAATTGATAGTAGAAGTTGCGTATGACAGACGATAAAGAAAGAAACAAACAAATGGTAGACAATCTTGTACATAATAGGATGAAAGTAATGAACCAATCAATATGTACTTTGTACTACATACTTATACTAAGGACATCCCGTGATAAGTTTTGACGATCTTTCATCACACCCGAAAAAAAATGTTTACCCGCCCGAACCCGTGTATTTCATACCCGCTCCGCCCGAGATCCGTGTCATTTAAAAAAATTATTCCCCGCCCCGCCCGCCCGTGTGCAGAAAAATACCCATGCCCCGTTAATCCCGCGTTTAATTAAATTTTTCTTCCCCGCCCGCCCGTCGCCACGTGGCCCGCGGGGTGAACCCCGTGGACCGCACATCTCTGGTTTGTATTATAACAGTATTAGTTAAGTGATGCTATGATATGAAAAGTTTCGATGACCCAGGTCAAAAAATACAGGTCATTTCTTGTCGGAACAGTCGAGAAAATGATAGGAATTTGGAAGCAAGAATTTAGTAACCAGCTCTGCCCGAACTAGAAAAATCTGATTACCGAGTGCTTACTTCTAAGTATATATCATTTTCCAGTCGGAAGCGGCGTCTTTCCAGCGGAAACCAGTCGGAAATTCAAGACTCTAGACGCCAATATCATTGACCTGAGGAGAACTATGTACTTCTGTTTTTCGATGAATTAGGAAAATTTTTGCTTCGTTATTAAAGTGCATACTGCACTTAATATTCAATCAACATCAATTCATGATGAATCATCTCTGACTATCGAGAGTTAAACAAAATTTACTCTCCACTGAGCCCCTAACTTGCTGATCGATACTCAATGAATCGAAGGGGATCGGATTTCTCAAGAAAATTTAGCAAAATTCCAGCAAAGAACATGACGAGTGATGGTTTTATCATAGGAAAATTAGTCGAAAAACAATCAAAAGTTGTCCGGCAACCATTTCAAAGAGCTCTATTTACCACGATTCGACAAGCTTGGAACTTCTTATTCCTAAAGAAAAGGCTAACATCTGATACACATATAAAAAGAAAACATTTCATCACAACAACGCCAAATCACATATGTATATAATCAAGGCAAATATTTTGTATATTTAATGAAATAAAATTTGAAATAATTTGTTTTTCTTTTAAAAATAAAAAATTCTTTATACATACTTGATATTTAGCTATACGTGGTGGTAAAACTAAACCTTGATTATCACCATGTATCATTGTCATAACACCAATTGTTCGTGTAGTTAAACCCCATGAATTTTGATAAACATATTGTTTAGTTTGTGTTTGTGGATCTTCAAATGTAATATCAAACATTTTCGAAAAATTTTGACCTAAATGATGTGATGTTGCTGCCTTAAGAGAAAATAAAAATTTAATTATTTCAAAAAAATGAAATTTTTTCAAAACAAAAAAAAAACAAAAATTTTACTTGAATTCCTCTTCCACTAGCTGCAATATAACCTTCAATTGTTGTTGTCCAATCAGCACCAGCAAATTTTTCTTTTTCTGTTTTACGTCCTTTAATAACCGGTATAGCTAGTAAATCTGTATATACTTTTGCATATAAATCAAGAATTTGATAAACTTCATCTGAAGCTTCTTTTTCTGTTGCCCATGCTGTATGACCTTCTTGCCAAAGAAATTCTCTTGTACGAAGAAATGGTTGTGGATTTTTAAATTCCCATCTCTAGGATATTTTCAAATAGAAAAAAAACAAAAACTTATTTGATTTTTTTTTAATTTAAACATACAACAACATTATTCCATTGATTTAATTTTAATGGAAGATCACGATGTGATTGAATCCATTTTGCATATGCTGGATACATAATTGTTTCACTTGTTGGACGTACAGCAATTGGTTGAGCTAAATCACTATCACCTGATTTTGTTACCCAAGCAACCTTACAAATAAAATTATGTTTATTTTTTTAATTTAATTTAAATTTTTTCATACTTCCGGAGAAAAATCAGCAATATGAGTTTGTTCTCGATAAAGTGCATTATGAGAAACAAATAATGGAAAATAACAATTTTGTACTCCCATTTCTGATATTTCAGCATCAATATAAGCTTTTATTTGTTCCCAAAGAAAATAAGCCCATGGACGAAGTATATAACATCCTGATACATCATAATTTTCAATTAATTCACCTTTACGAACAACCTAAACCAAAAAAAAATTTTATTTGAAAAAAAAATTTTTTCTTTTTTGAATTCCACTTACTTGCCCATACCAATCAGCAAGATCTTCTTCTTTTTTATATTCAATACCAAGTCTAGAAGACGATTGTTTTGTTTTGTTTTTACTTCATTTTGTTCATAAAAACTTACTTTGTTTGTTTTTTTAAATCAGTATGAGCAGATGTTGAGTTTTGTTCATGTTCAGGTTTTTTTGCTGTTGCTGCTGCTGCTGCTGCTGGTTTTTTTTCTTTTTCTTTTCGTGCTGATGCAGCACCACTCGATGGAACATCAGTACCTGTTAATGTTTTATATTCTTCTTTTAATTTTAATAATTGTCCAACAGCGGCTGTAATTTCTTCCTTGAATAGAAAAAAAAGAAAAGCATAATTATTAAAAATAATGTTCTTGGTTTTTTTCTATAACCTACTTTACTACTATTAGGATTACTTTTTAAATCACGAACAAGATTACCTTGTTCATCTATACGAGATTTTAAAGTTTCGCTATCGAGATTTTCATTGGAGGTCATCCTTTTAGATAGGCACAGTAATATCTATCAGTGACGTGTTTATATAGTCATATTATTATGAACCAATCACTTTTTTTTTCCTATTTTAAACTTTCCCCATGAATGCGTGTATTCAGTGTCGCTAGAGATCGCTAACGCTCGGAAATGAACTTTATTATTATTTGACTCACTTTTGGTGTCGATTTATTTGCTTTAAGATCGCGAACTTTATCGCCTTGTCGAGTTATTTGCTCAGTAAGTTTTTCGGCTTCATTTGATGTTGAATTAGTTATTGGTTTCTTATTTTCTTTTTGTGCTGTTGTATTTGATGGTTTATATTCACTACCTGTTAATTTTTTATATTCTTCTTTTAATAGTACAAGTTCTTTTACAGCAACGTTTACATCATCCTAATTGAAAGAAAATCAATATTATAGTTTGTTTTTTTATTCTTTACATTTGATTTACCTTAGATGTTGATTTATTTGCTTTTAAATCTCGAACTTTTTCACCTTGTAAAACAATACGTTCTGTTAATTGATCTACTTCAGGACCTGATACTGCCGATGATGTCAATTTATCACCAGTAGATTTTGTTGCAGCATTATCAGTAGCTCTTAATGATGTTGGTTTTTCTTTTGTACCACCATCTGGAATATTAAGTAAACAGCATGATTGTTGAGTTGCAGCATCATATGGAGCATCACATATATAATAGCCTTTACGAAGAATTTGAATGACATCACCTTTTTTTAATTGTGCCATTTCAGGTTCACCGATAATATCATATTCAATCTTTAAAAAAAAGGGTGTTTTTTCTTAATTTCGTATGAAAAAAATTTTTTGAACTTTGATCTTTACCTTTGATGCGTAGTTAACATAATTTTCAAATGTATCACCTTCGTCAAGTTTTGCTTTAGTCATAATATTATCATAATGAATACATTTAACCGGTGTTAATGGTGCTTGACTTGTTTCAGCAAGCCATGTTAATTTAAGTGTATTTTTAAAATCTTTATTATCTAATTGAGTTTCACCTTCCATGAATTCGAAGTCACCAGAATCTTTCCTAAAGAAAAAAACAAAACGACAGTAGAAAATAAATAAGAATACGAATTATAATTTAATTGTTTTTGAAAGTATCGACTACGTTTAGTTCTCCACGAGAGTACAACTGAATGAGTAGAGGTATCATCATTTTCGATATAATCTTCTTTTTTTCTTTTAAAACTTACTTTTGAATTCGATTTATTTTAATATTTCCCCAATTCATTAATGTAACAATTTGTCCCTCAGTAATTAAAACAGCATCATCTTTTTCAATAAATATTGTTGAACCATAATAAACATTTTTCATTCCAATATTTGAATCTTTTGGATGTTTTTGATGTTGTTGACATTCTTCTTTTGTTATATTTGTTAATTTTATTTTAACAAGTTGATTTTTTAATAGTGCTGTAAAACGTGGTGCTACAGGATCAATTTGTTTTTTATTAAATGCCCAAATTTTATCCCAATCCATTAAAACAACAGATCGTGATGAACCTTGTGCAACAATAAATTGTCTTAAACCTTCAACAGTCATACCACGTCGAAGTATACCACGAACAGTTGGTAAACGTGGATCATCCCAACCATCAACAATTTTTGTATTAACAAACCATGTTAATTTTCGTTTTGATAATACTGTATATTGCATATTAAGACGTGCATATTCATAAATAAATGGTTTTCGAAGACCTAGGAAAAAAAAAATATTATTATTATTTAAAAAAAACAAAAAAAGTAAAATATAATCATCATACCAAGAGCATCAAGAATCCAATAATACTGCTCATCTCGATCATGATATTCAGTTGTTCGAAGAGCATGAGTAACTAAATTTATAAAAAATATAATAAAAAGAAATATTTTGAATATTTCTTTTTTTTACCTCCTTCAATACTATCAACAATTGGACAAGCAAAATCATACGTTGGATAAACTCTTTAAAAGAAGAACTAATGAAAAATTTAATTGAATAATTTTTCTTCTTACTTATATTTATTTCCTGTTCGTACATGTTCTTCTGGCTTACATCGATGAATAGTTGGATCACGCATACAACCATTATTAGAATTCATATTAATTTTTAAACGAACACAACATTTTTGTCCTTGTTCATTTCCAGCTAACATATCTGACCATAATTTTAAATTTTTTTCAACACTATTATTACGATTAACTGATTCTTGTCTTTGTTCACGTTGTTGTTTCATTTCTTCTGGTTCAGTATCGTCACAATAGGCTAAACCTTTTTCAATTAATATTTTACAATAATTAATTAATGTATCAAAATGATCAGATGTATGTGTAAAACGATCATATTCAACACCTAACATTTTTAAATCTTCGAGAATAACCTAAATTTTAAAGATAATAATACGAAAAACAACAAATAATTTTTGTGAAGAATTAAAAGAAAAATTTATTTTTAAATACCTGTTCAAATTCAGCAGTTTCTTTAGCTGGGTTTGTATCATCAAAACGCATAATTAATGTTCCTTTAAAAGTTTTTTGATAATATTGATTAAGAAGAGCAGCTTTAGCATGACCAATATGCAAATACCTAATGTTTAAAAGAATATTTCAATAAAAAAAAAAAATTTTTTTTTTTCGATAAATAAACAAACCCGCTTGCTTCTGGTGGAAAGCGTACGATAACTTCACCTTCTTTAGCATTTGGTAATTCGACGAATTTACCTTCGTCTTTCATGTTAGATTTTTGTGGAACACTACTATTAGTTGATGCAATACTTGCCATGACGGATTCTAAATGGAACTGAAGAAAAATAAATCAGTTTTTATGTTAATATTTCATTTCTATTGCGAAATATGACGATAGTGGATGACGCAATATTACAAATGTTATTGGCAATTTCTCCTCCGCGTATTAATTTCAAAATGCTTTCTCTAAGAATCGATGACAAGAAAAACAAGATAGAATATGTCTTTTTTTTTTTTAATTTTTAGAATAAATTCAGGTGAGAGCAAGGTATTTTTTCATATCATGAATACTTTCTTATCTAGAAGCTATTATCTACCATTTATATATGAAGTGTGTAGTTTGAAGAACAATTATAGAAAACAATGACACGAATGTAAAGATGATTGAGATTATTTAAAATAGTAGATGGATAGAGAGAGAGAGAGAACAATAAGTTGGCTTATTAGTCGAAAGAATTCTTACTAGTAGTGAATTACTAAAACTAAAACAGCACCAGTTATTCCTACAAACAACTCCGACCAATCAAAATGAGCATTTTTTGAACTAAGTTCGTGACGTGACTATCTAAAATATAATTAAATATATTTCTGATGAAAACACATCGATTTTTTTATATGATAATCAAGAAAAATTAGAAGTTTTTGTTCATAGATGGTGCTAGATGCTTGCCTTCATTCTTGGCTAAAAATCTACATGAAGTCACCCCTGTGATTCAAACCGTGAAAAAAACTGCTGATTAATCTACTAAATACTGATCGCGCAACTGTCAAGTTTACCACTGGCTAAATGCTGATTTTTCGTGGCTATATGTTCTAGTTATTTAAGAGCTCGTTCACCAGACAAATGTATACTCGAATAGATACTCATCTTGGAATATATCTCCCTATTGATACTATAAGAAGCAGTTAATCGTCTATCCGTTGGAGAGAGGATTCTGTGATTAATTTCAATGGATTATTGATAATAAGCAATAGTATATTCATACTCACCTTGACCATTCTTGGCTGTTCCAAGCCTATGATAAATAAATGCTTTTTATAAATCGGCCACTGTTTCATTAAGGATGACATTCAGTACGTCTTGGACTTTGTTGAACTATTCCAATTTAATTAGCAACCTACATAGACGATTCGATCCTTCGATATGAGAATAAGTTTCTTTGCACATCTATTCAATAAATCTATACAGTTCCGGATTATGGTCATTGATTAGCAGAAGATCTACTTGATAAAGACGATCGTTATCCATTTACTGGAGTTGACCAATACGATAGATGGAGTGCATGGAGAACAGAATATCTTCTTTTCCTTCGAAATAACTGGAGTGACACACATTGCAATGAATGTAGACACAATGGATAGATTCATTGCCATGACGAATAAGATACCAACAAGATTGGAAGCTTGAATTGTTTAACGCACAAAATTGAGTGATATTTGGCATTTCGTACTAGTTGATAAGAAATTATTAAATGATAAAAGTCCACTCTCTATTTTGACTAATTGATGAAAGTTTGCCAGAAATAAGCCTAAATCACGGAAGACAGTAAACGATTTCAAATGTACATGTTCAACATATTGTTCGGTATGAAATATAGAGAGGTGATTGTGAAAATCTTGGATGAAAAATTCCATGCTAATAATGAGATCAACCTTCATCATCTATAGTGATTAGTTGAGCATCAGATAAAGAAAACTTGGATAGGTGCACCAACAAATCGGAAGATGTTGAAGATATGATTGTGGCTTAGGAACTTAAAAAAATAAAAGAAAACTATTGGACTATGACATGAACGAGAAAAATTGATGTACTTTAAATTCATTAATTAAATCAGTCATTTTTATCAATTTAATTGCATAATTTTATGCCCATTTCATCATCTGTAATACTAGATTTTTTCCGTATTTTTAATCTAAAACTCACGAAAGTCATGAATGTTTTTATTTTTTTTTAAGTTCATAGAGGATGTGGATGTAAGAATCAGCTTGAGTTCTCTCTACATCCTTACCTTCATTTATACGATCATAGTGTGTGACATCGAAAGGTTCTTTTCCATCTGTCTGCCAGTGTCAATATGGCAGGCTGTTGAGGAGTACTTCACTTTTCTCGCTATATATTTCTACGCTCATTTCCAATCGTATTTTACAAAAATCTGTACAAGTTGGATACATGGCTTTGTCAATGGAGAATTTATTGAGAAAAAAAAAGATATTGACAGAAATCAATATGAGAATAAAATATAGGGTCGTTGGTCTTTAGAGAAAAGGTCGATTATATGATATACATTCTAATTAAGATGTGTAGAAACTGTTCGATTAAATCTATTGCTTGTTGAGCAGATCCGTCGGAATTGCTTTGCAAGCTGTACTTTTTTCTGGTCGATTACATTTATTCTTCTTGCAGCAGAATAAATTTTTGTATACGAACGGTGCTTTACGCATTTGATCGCACATTTTACTTGCTATTATGGTATAAGCCCATTTTGTCTTTTTCTTCTGTCGTTCTTCGGGTGTACAACTTTGATCATCACCTGTGCATGAAAATTTATATTTCGCACATATACATTGTCCATGATCACCGCATTCTTTTATATCAGGTCCGAGCATACATTGAGTTTCAGAACCCATATAGCATCGGATAGCATTGGATACGGTAATACAAAGTAGAACAAGCACTATGATAATACGCATTGTTTGATATTTATTGTATAATGAAAGTACGACTAGATGAATGATACTGTAAAGTTGGCAAAGACGACGAAGAGAAAGAAAGATGTATGATAGCGATGAGAGAAATACAAGCACGGACTTCGTATCTTCTACAACTACTATCAACACTACACTTACTTTGATCTTGTCCTTACAGAATCGAGGATAAATGCATTACTCGTTGATATAAGATTAGTGTTCTTTCATAGTTTGAAATCGAATAAAGTAGAATATTTTCTTAACATTTGAATCTAGTCTAATGCGAATATTTTAGAGTGAAATTTTTTAAGAAAACTATCAACTTGTGTACAAAAAAAACAAACATGTTTGTCACTATTCTACGTTATTATTTTTTTTATAAAAAAATCTTATACTGTACATAAGCAGATGTATCCATCAAAAATAAAAAAAAAAAGAAACTTGTATTTCGTTTTCAAATACTGTGATATTAGTTAAGTAGATTATAGTCTTGAATTATCTTATACATTTAAGGAAACAGTTTAGGATAAAACATTCGTTGACTAAGATGTGCTTTTTCCCTAATATTATTAAGTAGAATAATCTAGTTGTATCCGTAGAAAATGTCATTGAATTTTATTATTTTTCCATTACTTGCAATCATTGCTTATATCCATGATATGCCAATGTCATTATACAGTATATAAACAAATGTCTACATTCGAATCGCAAGGTAACATACGCACTTTAATTCTATAAATATGACATTTCTGTCTGTCAAATATCCCATATGTTTATCAGAATCAATTGCGATTCCATTGATATAAAATAATCATATTTATTTACCACCAAATACAAAATAAACATACTCATTACAATATTGTATATTTATAGAATAATGAATTTTGTTGATTAAGAACAAATAAGCGAAGAAAAAAAATAGATTACTTTTGTGTTGTTTAAAATGAGAAATTCTATCGTTACTTTCTCATCTTTGATTGTGTTCTCAACAACTAGATCAATGATTATTGAATTAAGATTCAATAAATCAATTTGATTTCATAAAGACATGTTAGAAAGTCATTATCCTATTTCAATATGACACTATGCGTAAAAATATATCAAAAATTTGCAACATTACTTATGCAATTTATTTATTCAAATATTTCATTTTAGTATAAATCTTAAAGAAGTATCTCAATAGAAAATAATAGTAAATTTTTTTTTTATTGTGTCAGTCATCATGACTAAATTGCAAACATTTCGTGACGTACAATAATTTCATGAACAATTTTAATGTTGTCTTTTTTAGTAATTTTATTTCTAGACATCGTTACAATAAGATGAAATTGTTTTCTCAAATTATTTCATATAATTAAATAAGATCATTAGAGAAACTATTGTAGAATCAAACATATTTTTTTGTTCTTATCAAAACATCAAACTTCTACTGTTAACCATACTATTTTATATTCAATAGTAATTAGAAAACCCAGTAATTCTTTCAATCAATGCAATAACACTCATGAATCTTTTTGTTCTTGCTGATTGACTTAATGAATAGTTAAAACAAAAAAATTTTATGTTACAATCCAAATGATTTAATCATTGCATCAACTCAAAATAAGATTTACTAATAATTAAAAGTAAAATGATTACAACAATACTGATCTCAAGCTATTTAAATATATACGTATGTAAAGTATGAGATTTCTATAAAGAAACAGTATTACATGATGAAATATAATGTAATTTATAGAATCGAAAAAAAAAATTAATTCAATTTCTTTTTGGTTTATCATTTGTTAATACATGTTAATGTTTCGATTTCATACCATCAAATTCAAGAATAGATATTTGATCGAAAGACAGTTTGAATAGATTTCAGATTGTCTGAGAAAGAGAAAACGTTATCGGTATGCAGTAATATTGATAGACTTTGTTTAATCATTGATATTTGTAAACAAAAGATGAGGTCGAAATTTGGGCATCAGTTCGAGTACTTCTCTGTATCATAATTGGAAAAGGTTTGGAAGGATCGATCATATTCCTAGTAATAACATGAACTTATGTTTAAAAAACAATTTCTCTAAATTTGCGCTACATATCTAAATTGCTAATTCTTATAGAGAACACATTATAAAAGTGAGAAGTATTTGATTAATAACAAGAAAATTAATTATCTCTATCTGTTATTACACGAGCTAAGAATTACAGAAAACTGTATAATTTTTCGAATACTTTTCCCGTAGATGTAAATCATACAGATAAACTATATATAACAATATTATAATTTGATCTGTGAAGTTTTTTTTTTCATAGAACAGTTGGAATCAATTTTATACTAATATTTAATATTTAAGAGGCATTATTTTCAATAGTATGCGAGCCTATTTCTATCCATGTTGAATGATATTTGAATCACTATCTCTATTTTGAACAATTTTTGATATCACTAAAATAACATTAGTAAAATCAAGACTTTGTTTTTTTACAATTTTAAGATCTTTTATTTTCTATTTTTCAAAATTCTATATCATTACATAGAATAGAAGCTCAACAAAATGATAAACATTTTTTGAAACAATATTTTGTATTTTGATTACTACATAAAGATAGAGATATAGTTCTTGTTAATTCCAATGAATTGCAAATAATATGGAGAAGATTTTAAAATTTCTTCAAGAGATTTTAGACAACTTATGACGACTGTTAATAAATCTCTATATAATACTTATAGAATCTATATAATATAGATTTTTTAATATATATTTATAGTTCTCACCACTTCTATGATATCAAAAACCATTTTATCAATTAATTTAACTATAAAATCGCATTGATTACAATATCATCGATAAATCATATAGTTTACTGAGGATATCAGTAAAACTGTTGTAAACTAGTGGTATCTTAAAAACAGGTGATGATATGAGACTTATGACACAGTTTTAAATCGTAATCGAATTTAAGGCTATCTCATACATAGTAATATTTCATTTTTTGAGAATCGATCAGAAATAAGATACCATGACACGAGAATAATAAAGCAAAAAGCTTACGACACCCGGTATTCCCAGGCGGTCACCCATCCAAGTACTAACTGAGCCCGACGTTGCTTAACTTCAGTGATCGGACGAGAACTGGTGTATTCAACGTGGTATGGCCGTAAGCGAAAGATAATATGTTACTTTTGATTCTCAATGATATCATTCTTAAGTATAATGAAATCAATATTGTGATATGTGTTTTCCTTTCCAAGCAAGTTAATTATATTATGTAAAAAAACTAAATGATATGCGTATTATATAACGAGATTTAAATATTTAAAGTTATGAGATATTTCTGTTCTATCCTGTCGATGAATTGTTGGTTCATGTATAAGATATATATATATCTATTATAGAAAAAAATATTTCATAATTTAAATTTATAATTTTTATCCTAATTAATTAAAATGTTTGTAGACGAAATTCAGCTTTCATTGCTTTACATTGTTTTATTTTTGAATCGATTTGATATCGTAAGATCATTTCATTTTTTGTCGATAATGATATTGATTGTTGATGAATCTGTTCAATTTTTTTCTAGAAAATCAATAAAAATAATATTTATTAATAGTTTTATTTATTAAAAGAAAAATAATATCAACTTACAAAATAAAGTTGATTAATCCATGAAAGTTTTTCTCGCCATTGTACACATTGATAAATAATCTTCATATATCGTTTTACAAATGTTAAATAATCTTCTAATGCTTTATGAATATGAATACGTATTGGACTATCACGAATAATTAATGGTCGATGAGATAGTATTTGATTAATTTGATATAAATTTTCTTGTTTTAATACTTTATTATGTTGATATAAAGTAGTCATCATTGTTTTTTTTTGTAAATTTCCTAGATTAATCAATAATTGATTATTTTCTTGTTGTAAATTTAAAATACGATGAGAAAAATTATGTATATGAAATGAATATTGTTGTTGTTGTTGATTATAAATATTATTTAATTGTGTATATAAACGAATTTTTTCATTTAATAATAAATATTCATCTAAATGACGTTTATTTTTACTCATCATATTCATTATTTGTTGTTTAAGTTTATGAATATTTAATTTAAATTGTTGATTTTCATGATATTTATTAATAATATGATTTATTTCATAATTAGATAATAATTCTAATTGATCATATTTTTTATTTATATTATCTAATATTTGTAATTTTTGTTGATATAAATAAATAGAATATTGTTTTCGATTTGATAAAAGAATTTGATCATGTTTTTGTGTTAATAATTTATTATAAAATAAATGAAAATGATCAATTTTACTTTCAAGTTCATTTTCAATTAATTGATTTTTTTTATTTAAAAATTGTATTTTATCATTATTATCACGTAGAGAACGACTAAGTGAAGTACGATGTTTTTCACGTCTAAATTTCAAAAAAAAAAACAAAAAGAATCTTTTTTTGTTTTTCTTATTGTAAAATTTTACTTCATGATTTCAGTTTTTTTCTTTCGTAAAATTGATTGAAAATACTAGAAGATTAAAAATGAACTTTTTTTTGTCTTCTATGTTTCTTATGATTGAGAAAATATTTATACTTTTTCTGTATTATTAAAATTATGAAAAATATTATTTAATCGAATAATTTCGAAAGAATTTCGAATTGTTTTATTTATTAAATGATGTTCATTAATAGATAATAGATGAAGACGTTTAGTATATGTAATAAGTTGTTTTCGATTTTGAAATGATATTTGTTTTATTGAATGAAGTTTTTCTTGTTCATTTATTCGTATAAATTGATTTTCTTGTAAAATTTTTTCTAAATTATTATTTAAATGAATAAGTTTTTTTAAACTTATTTTCATTATTGTAATTTTATCTTGTTGATCTTTAAGATGATTATTATTAATTGTTATAATATATTCATTTTTTTTATTTTGTTTAATTATATCAATTAATTGTTTAGTTAAATTATGAATACAATTATCAAGTTTTAATCGATTATGTTTAAACATTAATTGTTTACGTTCTAATGTATAATTCATATGTTCTTCAGATTTAAGTATATGATGTGTATAACGTTTTATTAATTCAAGTTCATGTATATGATGTCGAAGATTTTTTATTTGATCATGACAAGCCATTGAACGAGTTTGTTCTATGAATAATTGAATGATTTTGTTTAATTGAGAAGAAATTTTAGTTCAAACCTGTAGTGATATCATTTTTAATAGTTTCTATTTCTTGTTTAATCTAATTTGATAAGAAAGTCAAAATATATGTGTGTTTGGTGAAATGAAGTTATAATAAAGCTTCTCTAATGTGAACATCATTGTGGCTAGAAATGTAACGATAACGGTGATCACCGGTATCATCGTAGATCGGTGTACTGATCTATTCAAATTCATTTCGACTTTTTCAATCAGGAGAAGATCAATATGAAGAAAATAGCTGAATTTTATAGAACATAACTAAATTGTGAGAACTAAGCTTTTCTCGAACAAGAAAATAGAACCCGAGAATTTCGACAAACTTCCTATCGATTCAGGCTCCTGGGTCCCGAAAGCCTTTTGTCTTTTCTTAAAACATTTCCTCCTCCGATCGAAATCAATCCAAGGTCACCCTAGTTTCATCATGCATTCATCGATAGTCCATATGTACATGTTTAGACTAGTGCACTGCTGTTGCCAATGAACAGTATATCGTCATTATTGCATCCATAATCAGGACCAGTCAAAAGTGCTCATTACTGAGAGATTTTTAACTTCTTGCAATCTACAAGTATTCAGTTGTAATTACTATTCGACTATACAATATGATTTTTTTATTATTTCAATATTTTTTAATCATAGATGAATCAACATGCGTTGATATGATTCAATATTACTAATTGTTGACACAAAAATGACGAGATACATATTTTCACCAAGTGTACTATTGCTACTGTGTAATATTGCTTTCTTTTTTTCTGTTAAATATGCATGGTTAGTCCATCCCTTGTGTTATATATATTCCATGAATGATTCTTATGAATCAATATACAATCCATCATTTTTTTTCTCTTGTTCTATATGTGAATAATAGAACATATGTTACTCACATTACAAAAGCTTTTATTGTTTATGGCATCAGAAATAAGTACCCTCTGCTCACACTAAGAAGGTGTCCATATTTGAGTGATTCATTATTGTGTAGTGAAATTCACTTAAACGAAACTATAGATTTCTCAGCATAAGGAGGTGCTCACATAGAAAGGTTTTTACTGTACATTTGTTTCATTTGTTTGAATTGATAATAGATTTTGATTAGTTTGATTAAAAGTATTTTTTAAATCATGAAATTGTTTTTGTACAAGTTCATATTGAATTTGTGTAGTTTTTATTCGATCATTATATTCATGTTCCATATTTTGAGTTGTTTCAAAAATATTTTGAAGATATGAATTTTGTTTTTCTAGAAATTTATATTTAGTTAATTTTATGAATTTTGTTTTTTTTTTTTCTTTTAAGAAGACAAACCTATTTGTAACCGATGATTTTGAATATCATTTTGTTTTAATTTAATTTTATCTAAAATTGGTTTTATTGTTTGTAATTCTTTTAGATCTATTTCAATTTGTGTTTGTACTATTTGAATTGAATCTTTTTGTTTATTAATTAAAATTTTTAATTTTTCATTATCTTTTATAAATCGATCTAATTGAATTTTTTGATTTTCTTGAAATGTTTGAAATTTTTGTAGATTAATTTGTAAAATTTGTGGATTATTAAGAAGAATTTGTAATCGTTCTATTTCATGTTCTAAACTATAAATAATTATCCAATATTGTTTTAAACAATATTTTGTATAACCAATTTGTCCAATAAGTTGTGAAATTTTATCTTTAAAAAAGAATATTTCATTTTCATGATTATGTCGATCATGAATATATTGTGTAAAAATTGAAAATATATTTTGAATAGTATTAGATAGATTATTATATTCATTAGAAAAATTTTTTTGTGATTGAAGATTTTTATAAAGAAATCGAAATATAATTGGAATGAGATTAAATATTTGTTCAAAAGATAAATTCTTATTTGGTAATAATTCTAGTTGATTCATAAGAGAAATATGAAGAGAATTGATATGTTCATTAAAATCAATATTAAATGTTTCATCATGTGGATGAGATACTTGTAATGAATTCATTTATAAACAAGAATAATTGGGTTTTTTTTTTATTTTAAATATTAGAATTCTTCTATCTTTGATTGGCGCTATATTTGTTTCTTAAAATAAAATTTTCAATTGTAAAATCAAATGACAAAAAAAAAAAAGACAAAATTTCATGTCTAGACGAACGACAAATTTCAAAAGTAAAGTTCACATAGAATGTTGACAATGAAATATAATACTAACATTATTCAATTTGTAATTTATTTTCTTTTTTGTATCTTTACATCCGATAAAATTTAAAATCATATTATTCATTAATAAATAAAATCTGGAGATAACATACAATATGAATGAGAAATTTGAATAGATTTGTTGAATTATCATTTTTTAATCATAGAATGACATTTTTATATTCTAGTTTTACCATCAAGAAAAATGAATTCATAGATTGATTCTACATGTCATATGACAGAAGAAACATTGATTGACTTATTACATTTCAATGATTGACAAATGACTATAGTTCGACTATGAATGAAAAATTAACATTAAGAATCTTATCTTTCAAAAGAAAATTCGATTGTACTATTTAGAAGTCAATAGTTCATTGTCAATTCGAGAGTGTTTATCTTTTGAATGCTAAGGCAAACTAATAATAATAGATAAACAACAATGTTGATTATATTTGGATTACATAGGTAATTATCAAAGTATTCTAAAACATTCTATAGTATATCATAATCAATATTTAAAAACAGAAATACTATTGATATCATTAAAATTTATATCTTTGCTTTGGTAAAATAATTTTATAGATTATCGAAGATTGGTGAAACTGAATACGATAATATTTGTAGTGTAAAGAAAATCCGATGTTTTTTTGAAACCCTTTTCAATGTCAATATTTAGATTTTAAGATAATGCTTATTGTCGACATAGTGTTAACAGAAGCGATATTGACACAATGTGAGTACTTATTCCTCTGAGAAAGCAAATATATGTATCTTCTCAAAACTTAAACCCTTCATTACTAAGTTAAAAAATAAGAGAACTAGTTTGTTAATTGAAGTAGAAACATATATATTGTTATAATATCTTTCATTCACTCTAAACATTTTCTGTATTCTTATCATAGATAATAGATCATGTATACAAGGTCAATATTACTTGATAGATCATAACATCATCTTTGTACAATCATTTTCTATGGACTCAACAGTGTTGACAGATATCTATATAGACATCTACGAACAAGTGAAATCTTAACAATGTCAATCAAGTTTACTTCATAAATGCCAATAACTCATTGTTTATCGATGGTATATTCAAATAAAACTATTTAATCAATATGTAACATTTACTATCCAAATATTTATAATACACAAACAGATATTTCAATATTGCAGTCAATATTCATTAGATCATATGTGTTCTGATATAACTAAAACTTTCTCAAATGTGTTTATCAAGTTCTTATGTAGATTAGTATGAACAAATCAAATGTTATATTTATTCAGTAGATTGTTATATAAATCAATCAAATATTATTTGTACTTGTCTTGATTATTTGTATCTTAATTCTACAGTCGATCCAAAATTGTCTTATTGAATTTCATAATGAATTATCTGTTCAAAAAAAAAAACCAACATATCAACAATGCATGCCTAAAATAGACGACAAACGTTGTTGACCAAAGCGAATGTACCAAAATATCATCCATTAATAGATAATGATTCATTAATTCTATCGAATAGAATATTCGAAGAAGAAATAAAAAAACAAAATTAATCATAATAGTACGTAGGATCTATAGGTTCTTATTGATGAATATGATTCATTTCAGCTTTATAAATAATTATATAATAATAGTTTTATAGTTTGTTGAAATCATTTAAATGATTACTTTTTTAGAATTTATGTCTTCTATATCTTTTATTGAATTGATAAGTAACTTGCATAAAAAAAAGAAAATTTTCGTGACATTTTCAACATTATTATTCTTTATTCATCTTTGATTTCTTATATTTTCTACCTATGTGACAAAAAAAAAGAAGAAATATGAAACTCTCACCTTGTATTTTTCTTAAATGTCAATACATACGGTTGAACAAATATTCAAAGACCGTATGAAGAACTAGGAGTGTTTTAATGCTTCAAAAAACAAAACTTTCTTTCCTTCCATATTTTCTATCGATAAAAAGTACAAGTTCTTCTATTTTGAGAATCGATAAAAAGAAATTTCTTCCAATTTAAATCGGCAATGCAAAAAACAAACATGTTTAAAATATGTAAACCATTGAGTATTTTTATTTGTTAGCGCAGGTTTAAAGCGATTAGCTGAATCGTTGCATAATTTTTGAAATATCTTTGCCTCCCGAAACAAAATTAAATATAGATAATTGAGTTTCAAAAGAAAATATCTAACTCCTACGATGATTTTTCAAGAGTTCTTTTTTTGTTTAATTTTTCATCAATATTTTCTCCACGATTCTTCTTTTCTTTTTTCTACTTGAAAACTTCTCGAAACTAAGAAAAATTGGTTTTTTTCTTTTAGAAAAATTTCAATCATTACCGTCGATCGTTTGCATCAACTTATATCTCTATTGGTTAGTTATAAATAGAAAAAAAAAGGACTGATAAATAATAAGCCTTTCCAAACAGATGTTTTTCATCAGTCAAATCATTCTGAATCAGAATGTTTCAACGCATTCTAAATTCTATTATCTTATATTACCGGTAGTTTTATTGCAAAAAAGAAAAAAGTTTATTCTATTAATAGTAGAATAACTTTGAAAATATTTTTCAATACAACAAAATTTTATTGAATTTAAAAGTTTAATTAAATTTTTCAAGTCAATATGAACAACATTTTCAGCAATTTTCTACACTTAGATTACATAACAACTCGAGTGATTCAAATAGTTATTGAAAAAGATTTTTTTTTTCTTCTTCTATTCCATCAAGGTCATATAATATTTTATTTGTTTCTAATAGCGTTAAACAACTTCTATTGATTTACTTACAGACCCTATTTAAAAACTATTAAAATATCAATAAAAAACATCGATGTGAATAATTTTCTTTTTCTGCATCCTTACAGAAATAGTAACAAGATAAAAATAAAGAAACAGTGTAGAAAATAATATTAATATACTGTTTTTTTTTTTTTGTTCTGTTTTCATACAGTCATATATTGTTGTACATTGATGAAAGTTGTTTATTACAAAAGAAAAAGACTAAATAGACATTAGAACACAATAGAAATTTATCTGGTCTATATGTTGTACGTGTCTTTTGAAAACAAAACTACTGTTTGTCTAAACATTGGGTGCAAGCATACGACGAATAACTGGATCATTTTTACATCTAATCAAAGAAATCAAAATTTAAAAACAAAAAATAAAGTGATCAAATAACATACCCAGCAATAAATTCTTGTTTGCTTAATTTCTTATCACCACCAACATCAAGTTTAGTAATAATTTCAGCTGCACGTTTCTTTGGATCACGATCACCTTTACGATCAGTTTCGCCAACAAGATCATACTAAAAAGTAAATATATTCATTGACTAAAATAAAAAATAAAACACAAATTTTTACCATAGCTGCAATTAAATTAGTCAATTCTTTCTGATCGATTTGTCCATCACCCGAAACATCATACCTAAAAGAAATTTAATTAAAACAAACAAAAAATATTAAAAAGAAAAATATATATATACATTTCAAATGCAACTTCAAGTCGATCATCTAAATCGCCTTGACTTGTTGCAGCAATAGCCAAAAGAAATTCATCAAAATCAATTGTACCATCATTATTAGTATCAAAAGTAGCAAATGCATATCTTGTAAGAAAAACAAAAAAAAGAAATAGAAGAATTTACAATGACATATGAATTAATTATAAAATAACTTACTTGCAAAAAGAATCAGCTTTTCCATGCGGGTAGAATTGTTTATAAACATCGACAAATTTCTTTTTATCAAGTTTACCAGTTGGACAATCACGCAAAAATCCCTAAATAAAAATTCATAGAATAAGTAAACGAGTAAAAAAAAGAAATACTTACAGCATGCCATTCTCGAATTTCTAAAACCATTAACAAATAAGAAAATCGACATGAATATATTAATTACATTAAATTCTTACCCTTTTCAGTAAATTTAGTATTAGCTTTAAGCATATCAATTTCTATAAGTTAAAAATTTGACAAAAGAAAAATAAAATGAATGTAAGTATTAATAGCAAACCTTTAGGTGTAAGTTCAGTAGATGCTCGTTGTTTTTTTGATCCTTTACCACCCATGATTGAACAATAGATTTTTTTTTCTTTAGTTAATAATCAAATAGAAATCTGAAAAAGATAAATTTATCAGATGATATAGTTCCATAATATTGTCATGAATGATTATATGTTATTTTTATTTTTATTCAGTATTGAATGTTATACTTCGAATGGGTGAGCGACAGATATTTATAGGGATAGGGGAGAAAGCAAAAAAAAAAACGAGAGAATGAGAGAAACAAAAGTGAGAGAGATTCATGGACGTTAGTGCATGTAAGTATGCAGAAAGAAAAAGAGAAAAAAAGAAATTACTAATGTATTAAGAACGAAAAACCTAAATAGTTGACGTGTCACTATTGCTAAAAGCATCTCGTAGATAAAAGATAAGTCGTGGGCAATTAAAAGTACAATTATTATACGTTTTAAAACAATAGAAAATAAGCATTATTATGGTAGGCAACTGTAAAAAAAGTAGACCTTCAATTTATTTTATTTTTATTATACTTTTTTATCCCGAGTTAATTTTAAATTTTTTTTTCTCTTTGAAATGTATTTGTTGTAAAATCAACAAGAGATCTTTTTCTTTCTTCTATTTTTTATAACAAAATAAAAAATTGCAAACCAAAAGTAACCGAATTGCAAAATAGTAAAAAAAAAAAGAAAGAAAAAAAGGAAATTTATTTAAGTTAAAATTATTTAAATAAAAAAAAAAAATGTACCGATCAGGAAATGAATCGTGCAAAAGAAAAATATACTAGATTTCCTATGAACAATAGAACGAGAAATGAATAATTATTCATGCGATTTATTTTTAGTCAACAAAAGACAAGAATAACAAAGCTCGTGATGAATCCGTGAATCAACTTTCACCAACGCCTTCATTTTTATCAAAGTATGATAAAAATTTTTATACATTCATGCATGAATTAATGAAAAAAAAATTGTTATGCATGTTTTGTTATCTATATACTAGATACACTTATCAAACAAATTGATATATATATTTTTTTTTTCTATTATTTTTATATAGTTACAAATGGTGGTTGGTATCTTTTATTGTTATATTATTAATTTCGTTTATTATTCAACGTCAAACAGTTGATAAAAAAAATTCAATAAAAAAAGAACGTTTATTTACACCAGATGAACTTCAATCATATACTAAAGATGAATTATATTTAGCTATTTTAGGTAAGAAAAAAGAAACCTATTAAAATTTGTATTGAAACGAAAAGAAAAAAAAAGAAACGAATTCAATATTTCTTATTATTATAGGGCATGTTTTTAATGTTACATCAGCACCACAATTTTATTCATCGACGGGAAGTTATAAATTCTTTACAGGTAAACATAAAACGTAAATAAAATACAAAAATAAAAATAAAAAAACAATATTTTACTCATATTCTAATTGATCAAATTTGTTCGAAATCTACTAAAGAGATTTCTCTATTTAATAAAATAGAATAACATTTAGTCTTATATGTAAAATTAAAGATTGACTTATTACAGATGTAAATAAAAAAAAAATTTGATATTGATGAATTTATTTAGGTCGTGATGCTGCTCGAGGTTTTCATACAGGTGGTACATCAGCAGAAGATCTTACTGATGATTTAACTGGATTAACTGATGAAGATATTGCTGGAATATATGGTTGGTTAACATTCTATCAAAAACAATATCCACAAATTGGTATTTTTATATTTTATAATTCCTTGAAATGTATATCAGAGAGATGCCCCAAGGTCGTCAGAATTGATGAGCAAAAAATCCGCTGGAGGAAAACGAAAATTTGTCAAGAATTCAGAATGAGCATTCACTCGACCTTCACCTCTGCTGGGAACACCCTTGATGCATATATATATATATATTAAATATTCTAAACTGATAGTGTCTATTTTCTAGGTAAATTAATTGGTCGATATTTTGATTCAAATGGAACACCCACAGAACATTTTAGTAATGTTCTCACATCAGTTAATATTATGAAAAAGGTTAATAACTGTAATACTCATTTATATTGATTATCATATGTTTTTCTTTTGTATAGAAGAAAGAAGAACAAGCACGTTTTGAACAACAATGGCCACCATGTAATAGTGAATGGTCACATGATGCTGGTAAACGAGTATGGTGTACCGAAAAAAGGTATATAAATTATTTTTTTTTGATAAAGTAAAAATCATCAGATTATTAATCATTCAATTATATTTACATAGTAATGATTGAAAAAACAAACATCACTGAGTTAGACTATAAATAACTCAAATCAAATAGACTCGATGATTTTGTGTTTTTTAGCTTTGAGAACTTCAATTCTGTTTTTTTTTTGAGTTTACCTTGAAAGAACTATTTTATTTCTAGGTTTATCTTATCTTTAGTTTCGAAAATTTATTTAGTGGTGGTATAGAACGACCATGGACTGGTGTACCTCGAAGATATTTTGATAGTTCAACAAAAACTGAACGATGTGTTTGCGTAAAAAATGCTGATCAACAAGATGGTCGATTTAGACAATATGAAGATTGTTCGCCAACAAGTATTGAATGTAAAATATTAGATTAGACAATGAATTTTTTTTATTTCTTGTACTTTTTTTTTTAATGATATTTTCTCTTTAACAAATAAATAAATACACACACAAACATACACAATAAAATTGCATAATAAATATTAATCATCAACTAAATCTTCTGGTCGTACGGGATGTGGTATTGGTATTAATGATTTTTTTTCAACATCTCGAGATAAAGCTTTCCGCATATCTAATAAAAAAAAAAGAAATTTTTATTTATTATTTAGAATATTTATTAATAACCTATAGTGCGAAAGTCTTAGCACAAAGTATTCATTCATTTTTCGGTCAATCAAAGAGAGCAGTTAGTTAGAATCAGAACTTTTAAGTAAGATTGAACAATTATCAATAAGGTTTATGAAAAAAGTTTGTATCTTGGAACAGTTTCAACTCAAACGTTATTGTAGAGTACTCAATTCTGTACAAAATGAAATATTACAATAAGCGAAATCTCATCTATACATTTCCACAAAAGAACTAATTTCTATCGAAATTAACAAAAGCTGTTCCATAAAATGTTTTTAAAAATACAAAAGTTGAAAAATCTGTCCTGCGAGATTAAATATTACGCTTGGCAGAGAAAACTTTAATCTACAAAACTGAGCTACTTAAAATTTATTTTGCATTTTTGTATTTGATAGGTTTCAATTGAAATATAACCCTTTATACCCTGTTGGGTCATTTTTGACCCATTCATACAAAGTTTTGCAGAAAATACAGGAAGTATGGTATTGAAAACTCCCAAAACAATATTGTTACAGAACTCCATAAGCTATCGATTGGTAAAAAAAATATTTTGTTTCGTTACTCTATCTCCGAGATATATAGCTTTCAAAATTATCGATTTTGAAAGAATTTAAAAATAACAAAATTTTAAAAACAAAACGGTTTTTCACTCACACGCAATAAAGATTTCGAGGCTGCGTTGTGTCGTATATATCGATAAAAGTGTCTACTATTTAACTAAATGCGTTTCAAAAATTTCACAATGGCTTGGCAGATACGAAATGGTAAGATACCAGATGGATCCTGAAACGACTATTGAACAGAAAGAGAGAGATATCGGATACCATGAATATATTATTTGTAAATCTTATCAGAGTAGCAATCGAAAAAAATATATATCATCGATTAAATGTCTTCATTGATGATATAATTACTTAAAGAAAAATATGTATTTTTAAAAAACCTCTGTCAAAAATACATATGGTGTTTAAAAATCGCTTTTTATATTCGTAGTTTTTCGTTTTGGATTTGAGTCTAATAGAAAGGAATAGAAGACACATTGGCCTAATTAACACCGTCATAAACAAGAAAAGAAGTAGGGCTTTTAAAGTTGTTCCATTCCCTTCTCTATCTCAATGGTCACTGTCGTAATCAAATTCCCCTGCACAAAAGGTAGTGCGTCTGATCGATCTGCCTATACCATTGGTATATTGGGGAGACCAATACTCTATTTTTATGGTAATTTTATCAGTGGCTCTTCTGGAACCGCTTCAGGGTATAAAGGGATAAAATTGATCAAAATAGTATTCTATGTACAACTATTATTTTTTGATCTTTTGAAATAATCTAATGATACTTGTACAATCTTACTCTAGAAGAAAATTCTGAATATATGTAATCGGCAAGAAGTTTTCCGAAAAATGAATGAATATACTGTGTGCTAAGACTTTCGTTCTATAGATAAAAAATATTTTACCAAATGCATCTTCATCTCGTTCACCAGAATAATATCCAATAATTCGCCTATAGACAACATAATTTAATTTATGATACATATCAACAGCTCGTTTATTTGATACACGAACAAATAAATCAACAAAATATGTTTTTTTCCTATATATAAATATATATTCAAATATAAGAATTTAAAAAAAAAAAAAAAAGTGGTAAATTACTGTTCGGAAACATTTTCTAATAATACCATTAATTGTGATGATATTCCTATACGACGAAATTCCGGTGCTATTGATAAAGCTGTTACATGACCATGATAATTTTCTTGTTTGCCTTTAATAGAAAAAATAAAAAACTTTGAATCAATAAAAAAAAAACTTACCTTCAATCTTTCCCATAACTATATTAGAAAACAAGAGTATTTTTAAATTTAATTTTTATTTAAAATATAAGATTTATAACTTACTATATCCCATTAATCTTTGAGTAGGGTTTTCAGCTACAAAAAAACATTCTGGCCATCGTGCTAAATAATGTAAATAAAACGAAAGGCCATACTAAAATAAAAACAAAACTCAAATTTTTAATTTTATTCTTTTTTATTTTTTTTTTAACTTACATTTTCTGTAAAAATATCTAAATTTCTAAACAAGAAAAGAAAAAGATTCAAATTCATCGTCATATAAACAATTCAAATAAAATCTTACTTACACATTATTAATTCGTAAAAGATCTAATAATTTAAATTGCCGAATTGATGTCATAATAATCTTAAAACAAAAAGAAGGAAACATTTATAAATATGTTTTATTTTTTGTTTTAAGAACGACGATATATGTATATATTTTTAACAATCAATTCAATCAGACAAAAGGAAAATGTTTTCAATCGATGAATATTGATTTTCCTAATCAGAGTTGTTGGTTATATTATGAAACGTTCAAGCACATACGCACACACACACACAATTAAAAAAAAAAAAAGAAGAAGACAATTATCGATTGTTGTTGTGTTTTTCATCACTGTTTATATCTTTTTCAAAGTTTTGCTTTAAGTTGCTCAGTAGATTCTGTTGATTCAGGTATTAAATTTTTTGAACCAAATATATTATTTGGATCAAGATATTGTTTTATTGACATCATTGTACCAACACCAAGATCACTAACAGCTTGTTTTATCCATTTAGTACGAATTTTTCCAATACCATGATGATGTGATAAACTTCCGCCATTAGCTAATACTTCATCACGTGCTGCTTGTTCAACAAGTTCATAGACATGTACTGGATCACTACCATGACGTAAATTATTATAATTCATAACAAAATAAAAATAAACACAAGCACCAGCATCATATGTTTGTGTTACACGACAAGAAGAAAAAGGTGGATATTTAACACCTTGTTTTTCACATTCAGTTATAATACGTTTTTTAACATTACGACATAAATCTTCAAAAGCAAAAAAAAAAAAAGAAGAGAATCATTTAAAACTTAAAGCAAAAAAAAAGAAAAGTATAGTCGTTTACCGATAACACGATCCCATGGTACAGATGTTTCAAATGATTCGGCAACAATTCGATAATCAAGTCCAATATCTCGTAAATAAGCTATCATGAAAGTTAATGTATATCCTTTTAAACCATTTTCTTCACCTGAAATAAGAGAAAATAAATTCAATTTAGAGATTTTTCACAAAAAAAAAAACAAACTTTTGATCGTACTGGCTAAATAAGATTAATTATTTATATATATGTATGAACATTTACAAAATTATATTAGATTGTCCCTGGACATCTTCAATTAAAAAACTATCGGTAATTTTTGATAACACTCACATAATGACTTATGGTTTCTATCATTAAACAGAGTAAGGTAAGAATCATCATTTTTTTTTCTCCATAATTCATGAATTAAATATGCAATTTCTTAAAACAAACATATAGTTAGTCTCTTGAATAAAGTTTCAAACATAAAACATTTCAGTCACTCCTTCACAAATTTGAAAATCATAGCAAAGTTCACACTAGAATCCTACTGAAAAATACCATTTGTCTCGTTCTACGAGACATTTTAAAAATAAATTGGGATGGGTCAAATGAGATTTAGAACTCGTCTGAAAGACGAAGATAACAGATGTTCTCAAAACTATTCGAACTTCTTTGAAATGAATTTTTATCACAAAAAACAAGATTATGTTTATTGATAATAATGAAGACTAGAAAAATAAAAACAAAAAAATCGTTACCAGCTGGTATGCCATTATATTTTTGTGCAATATCATAAACAAATTTTTCTCGTTGATTAACTTCATTTGTTGTACCTTCAAAAAGTAATGTTGCTGCACACATACGATTAATATCAAAACCTTTAATTTTTGTTATATATAATTTTTTAATATTATCAACTAATGAATGTAACATTCCTTTATTATCTGTAGCTAATGCTTGTCCAAATAGAAATTGTTCATTATCAAGTAAACGTATTGATGCTGGTGCACTTCTTAAACGTGCTATTTCACGTAAACATGCAACACCAGATTCAAAATCGGGAAAAACAATTGAACCATATTTTTTACATGCTGGTAATGGTCGAATTTTCATTGTTACTTCTGTAACAATACCTAATATACCTTCTGAACCCATTATAAAATGATGAATATCAGGACCAGTTGATTGTCGTGGACCTAAACAACTTTTTTCAATTGTTCCTTTAACTGTTACCATTGTTATATGAACAACTAAATCTTCAATATTTCCATATATATTTTTTTTCATTCCTGATGCTCGTGTTGCTACCCAACCACCTAATGAACTAAATTCCATACTATCTGGTTCATGTCCAGTACAATATCCTAAATAATCAAGATAATAATTAAAAGATAAAACTAAGAAAAAACAAACAAACAAAGTTATTTTATTTTACCCTTTTTTGCTAATTCACGTTCAAGATCTTGTCCAATAATACCTGATTGAATACGTGCTGTTAAATTTTTTTCATCCAAATATAGAATTTTATTCATTTGTGATGTATCAACACTAACAATCATACGTTTTTCATCAACTGGACAAATTAGAGCCCATGTAACTGATGTACCACCACCAAATGGTATTAAACAAATATTATGTTTAACAGCTAAACTAACTATTTTTTCTACATCACTATGATGACGTGGCCAAACAACCCAATCAGGTAAACGATCAAATTTTCCACCATGTCGTAATTTCCATATTTCTTCAAGTGTATGTCCATGACCATGAAAAAGACGATCATTCATATCAGATGAATACGGAACAGTTGTACCAAGAGTTGATTGAAAATCAGTAATAAATGAATTATTAAGAATTGGTTCAGGTATATAATCAGGATTTGGTTCTGCAACACTTGGTGAATAATTATCAGTACTTGCATTTAATTTATTTAACATCCAATCTTTTAAACGTGGAAGAACATGACCACTTAATAAATAACGTGAACCAGAAAATTCAATTAAACCATTTGGATTAAGAAAAAATCGAGAATCACGATAACCCCAACCTTCCCATTTTAATAATTCCTTAAAGAAAAGAAATAATCAAAATGAAGTAATTATTATTTCAAGTTTGTCTTTAAGGTTACCACTCTCCGCTTGCTTTTCGAGATTTCTTGAGAATGAACTCATCAGAAAAATTTGAAATTTTTAGAGTAGGTAGATCTTGACGAATGAGGCAAAAGTTATCATAGACTTAAAGTTTTCGGATATTGTCTTCTATTTTTTTGGTTGTTCGAATACAAAAAATCAAAATATCAAAGGTACCGTAAAAAATGCATGTTTTTTTTTTGAATAAGTTTTTCCTGTAGACCTACTAGACTTGAGCACACACACACACACATCTGTTGAAAATTTGAGATAGATCGATTGTTCTAGAGGAAAACTAGATTTTTGACAGAGGGTAAGATGAAGAAGACTTTAATAATTCATTCAGGATACAAACATTCACTATCTTACTTGACGATGTAATGGAATAGTAGTTGTTATTTCTCCTTTTCCTTCTGTACTCATCTAGAATATTAAAAAAGACAGGAAAAAAAAGGAGTTATAACATAAAATAAAACAAAAAAAAAACATCTAAAATTAAGAAGCCATCTTCATTGATAATTTTAATTCATTTAAATGTCGTCGTCCTAATGCAATTTGTGTTCTTATTTCTCCTAAATCTGTTAAATTTTTATAACGATTAAATTCATATCTTGTCCAATCTCGCACTAAAAAAAAAATAAAAATTAATTAAAACACAAAAAAAAAACAAAATCATCTAATCTTACAAACTTTCTTTTCTATAATCTTGATCATCAATTTTCATTAATGTTCTCATTATATCTCTATATAATGTAATAGCTTGTGAACGTACAAGAAAATGTTTTAATGATAATTGTTTCATCTAGAAAAAAACAAAAAAATATTACCAAGACAACATATTTATTTTTCTTTAATAACAAAAAAAAAAAATTAATGAATATCGATAATTGGTTAGTACCATTACCATTAAATGATATACAACAAAATGCTTATAATCTTTGTCTAGAAAAATTATATTCAATTCTTAATCTTCCATTACGTATAAATTGTTTACCAAGTGAAATTTTATTAACAAATACAAATGAACAACATATAACATTAACAATAAATAATCATAATCCATTAAAAATGTATTGGCAAAGAAATTTAAATGAATTACGTTTATTTTTAAAACAAAATCAATTAAATCAAACAAAACTTGATGCTAATATTATTGAAATACATAAATGTCGACGTTTACAAATAACACGTTATATAAAACAAAATTTATTTCAATCATCTGTTTTAATATCATTTTCACAAATATTAACAACAAATAATTATTTACTTTTATTAACTATAACTGGTAAACATTGTATTTTAGAATTACAAATACCATCTTTAGATAATAATGAATCAATCTATTATGGTACATATAGAAAAATGGGTGAAGATTCACAATTAAGATCAATAACAACACTTTTTAATTGTACAATACATATCGATAAAGATATGGCATTATTACTTAGTGAATATGGTTTATGTCGAATAATCTCATAAAAAAAAAAAAGAAAACAAGAAGAAATTTTTTTTGTTGATTTTAAAATTTTTTTTATTTGAAATAAGAAGAAAAGAAAAAAGAAAAAGCAATGTTTAATTTCTTCGTTTATTAATGCCTTCATTTTTTCGTTTTTGTTGTCCTGTTAATAAACCATTATTAGCACCATTATTTTGATTTTGTTGTTGTTGTGTTGGTTTTTGTTTTTTAGGTCCACCAAAAAAATTTGCAAACATATCACCTAAATCAGGTGTATTTATATTTGGTTGAAGAAAATTACTAGCTTGTTGTAAATCACGTTGCATTTCAGGATCTTGTGAAGCTAATTTAGGTAAAATTAATAATAATGCTAATGGTATAAGTAATGTTAAAAACATTGGATTCATAATAACATCAGTTAAACGATAAACTTCACGTTTTTGAAAATAATTTGGTATACCATGTGTTTCAAAATTTAATGGATATTTCATTGCAACAACTTCACCTGGTTGAATAAAATTAACTTTACGTGCACGAATTTTACCTTTAGCATTTATATCAACACGAACTGGTTCGAATACATGTAAAGGTGATACAACTGATACAATATATGAACCACTTGGAATACCTAATAAAAAAGATATTTTAATTTAGTTTTAAAAAAAAAACAAACAAAAAAAGATAATAAATTAAGAATTTTACCAGATATGACAAATGTTCCATCAACTTGTGGAATACCAATATAAGCACCTTCATCAATTAATATTCTTGTATTTTCAAGTGCATTATCACCTGGTGGAACGATTATTTTACCTTCAATTTTAAATGAACCAACACTTTCATTTGAAGGATTGAGGGAAAGTGAGTCTTGGGATGCATGGATAAATATAATCATAAGGGAAAAAAGGAAAATCGTAATACAATATTTAACCATTTTTTAATGCCTGAGAAAAACAAATAGATTAATTACAAAAAATAAAAAGAAAAAATTTTGCTTACAGCTTTTTGTACACAATCTTTAAGAGCAAGAAATTCTTTTAAACACGAATCTTTTTTTAAATCACTATGATTTATTACACAAGCAGCGTATAGTGTAGCCTTAATAGAGGGAAAAAGAATATTATGATGATATTAATTTAATGATTCAATGTTACCTGTGTCGAACACGTACTAACGTTTTTAGCAATAGTAGTCAAGCGTTTACGCGCAACACTTTCAGGCATTCAGCTAACATAACAAATTTGGTTTAATCTAGAAACAACAAATGAAATATGAACATGATTTTCCAATCATATTAAAGTTGGATATAATTACTGTTAGTTAGGCGAGAAAAAATAATAATAATTTATCGTTTTCTGATTTGTCCTAGAAAAGAAAACAAACAATCGAACTCTACCAGTCATTATTCATCAATTGATTATTAGCAGAGTTTTATATTTGAAAGATAGATGCCGTTATATATCGAAAGCATTGAAAACTTTACATCTCGGCGTGATTTAGTGTTACGGAATTTTATACTTTTTTAAAACATAGTAACATCTATTTCTTAACAAAAAAGAATTTAAAAAATCGAACTCTGTTAAGTTGTAGCAGTAAGTGTTGACTACATCTTGACGTCAATCCAAAATCTGTATTATTAAATTTCGAAAAGAAATCTGAGACGCACAGAGATCTACTTTTTGGTCCTTGATATAGAAATAACTCTTGAAAAACTCAATATTTCGAGCTGAAACTATTACTATAAATTTTATAGGGCAGCACCAATATTTTCTGAAATTTTTAGCTAGATCGGTTGTTCTGGAATGAAAATATATTTTAAACAGAGTGAGAGAGAGGGCCTTGATGATCTCAAAACACCGCAAAATTTGGATATTAATGAAGTTCTGTAATCCAGTATTACTAGAAAACCAATGCGAATATTAAATAAAACTGCGTTCGATGGAGTCTATTCAGTTTCATATATATAACATTTATAAGAAGATCATATGGTGAAAGAGTATTTCGCATCCGATGAAGAATCTTTTTTTCTACTAGTTGCTTTTTGTGTGACGATGTATTCCACTACTATCTTTTACACAAATTTTCGAATTGTTCACTCCTAAGAAAGATTCCACGTCTTCGTATCACCAAATGCTTCTTATGAACAGAAACGCTTCCATTTCACTTACTATCGATCGTTTTCTTTTCAATAATAGACTCAGCTTTCTTCTCTTTTAAGTTTGAACTCTCCACATATGTGTAGGTGACGAATGGCTGGCCATGCCGATCTGTAGATTTGTTTTCTCAATCTATTGATTTGTTATTTGATTAATTGAAAATTTAAAAAAAATGATTTTCTTCGAACCAATATGGGTTATACTAAAAAAAAACCAGTTGTAAAGAGCTTTTCATTCACTTGCTTGAACATAATTCAAAACTTCACTTTTTAAAATCAGCATCGAAATTAAAGGAACGCACTACCGATGATCATCCGTTCGTTTCGAACTATTATTCGATTTATCTCAACAGAAAATGTCCAAAGATAAACCAATATGACCTGTAATTTGACTTGGAAAACAATGATCGTCCCTCATTCACCAAAATCTTTGATCCGACACTTGTTTTAAGTGTAAAATAGAAAGTATATGAAAAAGTTTGTTTTCTCTTTATTATCTTAATTATTAATCATATTCGGTCTTTATTAATCAATTTTTTTTTGAAGATGTAATTTTCAAAAAACAAAAGCATGTTAATGTTTTAGTTTTATTTTTGTCGTTAGCAAAAGTCTGTCTATCTATTCGATAATGTTCTTATGAGCAATAACTGTTAATGCCGATTTTAAGCTTATATAAGACAATTTAATAAAACATTATATGATAATCAAATATTTTATATATTAACAATGTCGATTTCAAATATCATTATGCGAAAGATCTGCAGAAGTCTCTTGACGTGTTTTTCCATTCAATTGATTTTCAAGAACAACCTATTTTCTTATCAAAATACTTTTTTCTTACACTTTAAATGATTTCCAAGTGTAATTACAAATTGTCGAAGATTGGAAAGCATAATTAAATGGCTATGATTATCGACAGTAAATCAAAGAGATAATCATTCTTCCAAAATTAGAGAGTACATGTAATAGATTTACTTTTAATGTTAGAAATGGTGTTAAATTATACTCTGCATCTACGTTTTTTTTTTGTAAGCTATCAATAAGAGAAATATTAGCAAAGCCTACAATTATAAAAAAAAAAGAACATCTTAAAAAAACATTCTGTACTAAAAATAATTATTCTTCTACTGCCAAGTCGAAACGATCTGCAATATGAAAAGATAAAAATTTTTTCATTTTAAAAATCACCTTTACACGGAACCAATTCAAAAGATCTTCACGTTATTCTTATAATGATATTCAAAACGAAAAAAAAAAAGCCAAATTATTTAACAGTTGGAACGTTTTCTTTGTTAGATTTTGGATTTAATTAGTTTTTGATTGTAAGAATTAATTAAATATTGTTTATCTGTTTTAATGACAAAATTAATACACCTAATAGAAGAATAAATAATAAATAGGAAAGAAAAAATATTCAGACAAAAGTGATATGTTGTGCATGAACACGATGATAATGTGTTTGATTATGTTGATTATTATCATGTCCATCAAGTTTATATCGAACATTACTTAATTTTTTCCATGGATTTTCAGCTGCTATAACTAAATTTGATGATGTTGGTTTAAATGGCGAATGTGGAAGATAATTTGGTGTTATACGTTGTTTAGATATTGATAAAAATTCTGTTGTTTCATCATCATGTGTAAATGGATGTTGATAGTGTTGATGTCGTTCAGCATCAGTACATGCACCATTTAAAATTGAATTACCACTATATATAGCAGTTGTTTGAACTGCTTCATCATTTATATTAAAACCTGAACTATCCGATTTTGAATTGTATAATGAAACTTCAGTTGTATAATCTGTTGATGTACGTTGTTGTCGACGACGATTATTACCTGTTGCTGATTCATCAAGATTATTACTTGTACTTGGACGTTCAACTGATGCGGGTGGAGTTGATAATGTTGGTTTAAATTTCACATGTATATTTTTGGACGGATTAAAAAGAACAATATATAATTTAGGTGCAAATAAACATAAAAGTATAACAGTAGCGGATAAACTAAGGCAAATAGCAAGACTAACCAATTGAATCTAATTAATAAAAATAAACTTAATCAAAATTTTGTTCTATATGAAAACTTTTTTTCTTAACTTACACGAAACCAATTATCACTACTTCTTAAACCAAAAAATATTGGTATAAATGCTAACCAAATAATACATATAGAATACATAGCAAAACCAATATGTTTAGCTTCATTAAAATTTTCTGGTATATGTCGTGTTTTAATTGCATATAATGTACATGATATAACAAGTATCATATTATAAATTAATGAACAAGCTATATATTCATTATCGGTTTGACAAACTAAAATTAAACGTTTTTGATTATGTCTTAATTCCGTTTTTAATCTAATTGCTGGTGGTGATATAATTATCCATACGATAACACCTATTAATTGTATACTAACAATTGCACCACATATACCTAATTGTGAACGTGGTGAAAGACATGATGGTTGTGTTAAACGTTGACTATTATTAAATATTCGTGCTAAACGATTTGTTTTTGTTAAAAGTGCAGCTAAACATATAGTTAAACTTAAACTAACACCAATACGTATAAATAAACATGTTAATAAATGTGGTTTAAGTATAAGTGGCCATGCACATAAATGACAACAACATATACCAGATAATAAAAAATAACTTAATTCACGTGATGATGCTTTTATAATTGGTGTTTGAGAAAAACGTATAAAAATTACAATTGTATATATTGTCATTAAAACACCAATTGATGAAAGTATTAATGCTGGCCATGCTATTGCATTATGTATAGATAAATATTCTTCTTTCACAGGTATACATTTAGAAAAATTTGAATTTGGTACTTCTTTTTCTGGACATGATATACATAGTGTTTCATTAACAACTATTTGAAATGGTTCACATGGACGACATGTCCAACAACATTGTTCAGAATCGGAGTTTCTACGTATTTCACCTGACTGACAAGATTCACTACAAAATGATCGAGGTGTTGTCCAAATTTGAGACCATTTCAATAATTGATGATTATATTTAAACCATTTCAATGATTGAAGATCAATATGAACTCTATTTATTATAGAAACAAAAAAAGAAAAATACAGTACATACAAAGATAATTTTTGTTATTTGCTTATATATATACAGAACAATAAAGTATTTCAATCAAGATTCAATAGAACAAAAAAAAAAAAACATAATGAAACAATCTTAAAATATTTTAACTTAAAATTTTTCATTCAATTTAACTAACACAATTGAACATAATGACCGTATATATTTTCATATGTCTTTTTTTTTTTTACTTTCTGGATTTTATTTATTAGTCGAGAACATGCCGAGAGAGATTAAGATCAAAACAACTAAATCTGATCGCTTTGAATTTTAATAATATGCATTACTAATTCGAATGAACCTAGTAATTTTATTTCCTTGTACGGAACAAATAATAAATGCACTGAAGAATATGGATTCGAAATACGTTTACAAAATGTGTTACACTTTAATGTGTTGTACATTATGTTGCCAAGTACGACACATGGGACATATGTTATTTTAGTGCTATACTAAAAGCTTAAATTGTTTCTTTTTTTTTTCCACTCTTTGATCAATCTCAAGAGAAATCATTTATTCATTTATGGTTTCGTGCATATTTTGCATAACAAGAGATTTTTTTTAAATAATAGACTAGACTCATAATAATATTTAGAGAAGTAACAAGAAAAAGTGAAAGTTTGCTGTATTAAATGAAAATTTTATGTTCAAAAGATCAAATATTTGTTTTAGAAAGGTTATGATATGAAATTCATTTACAATTTACTCAAATGTATAATTGATAGTCTTTTGTTTTCTCATATTTTTATTCAAACTCTTCATCTTAAACTTTTACAAATAAATTTTTGAGAAAAAATAAAAAGTTTTTTTTTTCTGTTTTGTTTGATGAATCAATTATACAACGCATCGATTTTTATCTGCTTCAACGAATACTAATTAGCTTTGTGTTAGCATGTAGAAATCATGTTTTCTATAATCATGTCATTTTCAGATATAATAAGATTTATTCCAAGGTAAAGAACAAACTTTTATTAGATTCGAATATTAACATGTAATATGAATGAGTATAATTGTTAATGGAATCTTTTACAGGTATATTTATTAGTATCCTGATGAAGAAATAATTCACTCAATATAATGAATTAGAAATGTTCGGAGAAATTTTGTTTTTTAAGAACATTCAAGACTAACGTTGAAATGTTATACTATAATTTATTTGTTTACAAGAATAAAACCTAAAAGTAAAAAAAAACCTTGACTTTAGCGTTCCATTGATATATATTTTAGCTTCCTTAGAATATAATTATGGTTTTTCTGTTAAACGTTCATTTTTGTAAAACAAATCCGGAGATTAACTATCATTGTTAAAAAAAGTTAATGTAAACTATTTTTTTTTTGTCTCCGAATAATTACAGTTTTATGCTAATTATATATTTTCAAATATATGATGTCAATGATTATCTGTCCTTGACTAATAATATTCTGCTTAAGTACAAGTAACATTTCTATAAAGAATTTACAAACGAATAATATCTTCTAAGAAAATATGCACAATCAATTTAATAATCAATGACAAGATTATCATAATAATAATATTCTTTACCTTTCATTACTATGATCAATATCACTAAATTCACCAATAGTAATATAATCAAGTGTATCAGTTGAATTAATAATTTGATATTGAAATATATCATAAGTTCCAATACCATCACCAGTTTGTGTAAATTTAATAATACGTTTTGATAATGCTAAAAAAAAACAGAATAATCAAAAATTTATAATATAGAAAACAAAAATTTGTTTTTTTTTTTTTTCTTAATTATTCTAACCATTACGAAAAGTAATGTTACGTAAAATTGAAATTAATTTTGTTCCTTCAAATGGAAAAAATTCTTTACATAATGGTTTTTGTTTTGAAGAATTTGGACATTTTTCATCAATTAATTTTTGTATTGATATTACAAGTGTAAATACGGCATCAACAACATAATGAACATAACCTTCTTGAAAATATGGTACAGATAAATTCGTATATGTATTATCAATATCTAAATAAACATAAGAATATTTATTTAATAAAAAAAAGAAAACAAAAACAAAAATAAACCTGAACATAAACGTGTATAATTTTGATTAAACATAGTTTTTGGTGTTTCTTCAAATTTACATTTATATGTTTCTTCCCAATATTCTCGAAACCATGGATTTCGAGTATTTTTTGATGGTGTTAAATTATTAAAATAATTATCAAATTCTACAAAAATAAACATAATCATAGGAGAATATTTTGTTTTTTCTTTTGAATTTACCTGGAATTAAATATAATTTCGGAGCTATTGTTATTGCATTAATAGCAGCACGTCCAAAATTTTCTACTGGATACCATTTTTTTCCCCAACCATCTGTACCAAGAAAAACCCATCGACCATTTAATTCAGTACGTGATGATGTTTGATTGAGTAGTTGCCTATTTATATATAATTATATATATATATATATATATATTCATTTCAATATTTTAAATAAATATTTAATTTTTTTTTCAATGTTGTATTACCTAACAGTATCTTCTTGTGCAAAAACAATAACACCAACAACAAAACGGTATTTTTCATCTTCAGATAATTCTTTTATAACACGTACATAAGACTCTGAATCTTTGATATTAACTGATAATTCACCAGCAATACAAATTGCTTTAAAAAGAAAAAAGAAAAACATTATTTACATAGATTTTTTTTTTAAATTTGTTTTAGATTAAATAGAAGAAAAAGATTTACTTTTATTTTTAAGTTTGGCTTTAAAATCATCTGTTAGACGTTCACCATAGGAACCAGTTTCTTTAATAACAACAACATAAGTCCAATTGAGAAATTGAATAATACTGACCACCTAGAATGTATAAAAAAATAGCAAAGGATATGCACGAATGAAAACAAAAAAAAAAACAACAAATGTTAATGGATCTATAAATACTAACAGCTTCTGCTTGATATGTATCGGGTGGAACAACGCGTGAAAAATATTGAAAACGTGGTTTTTGACTTAATTCCGTACTTGTTGATGCATAAGATATTTGCGGAATCTATTTAATACAAAATATATATATATATAATCATCAATTAAAAGAGAAATTAAAAAAAAAAGAAGTCTTGTTTTTTTTACATGTCGCCACCGGAAAACACATGAATATCTTTTACAACGGAACTGTCATTTTCATTATTATTTCTATTTAATTGTCACGTTTCTTTTCTTTTCTTTTTATACGAGAATTTGTCAAACTAAAACTTATTTTAACAATACCTCAGCTAAACGAAGAATATCTGCAATTGCCATTGAAACAATACTTGATGCACTACCAATAACACCGGCAATAAATGATAATGAATGATTTTGTTTAGTGAATGACATACATTGATTAAGTGATGGTAATAACATATTAAGTGCACGTTCAACAGCATACGATTCATAATCACATGAATCATATATCAATGCACCGAAACGTATATGATATTTATTAAGTATCGAAGACATTAAATTAGATGATTGATTATTAATAACATCTAATGCAAATAACATTGCTTCAAGACGTTGAATACCACGTTCACGTTTAATAGCTGTACATTGATTAGAACCAAATTCATTTGACGGTGGTTGATGAATCGGAAAAAAACCACCAAGTAATATATCACCTAAATTTCTTTGTTGTTTTTTATCAGAAAAAGTTATTTTTTTTTTGTTTATATTTCTACCTGGTATATAGATATAATCATAAGATGGACTATGTGCAGCACGAAATTCTGGTGGATAAAAACGATGAATATGTGTTTGACTATTACCATCCTGATCACAATTGCTATTGTCAGTTAGAAATGTAATCAATATAAGGATGATTAACACCAGCACAATACGTGACAATGACACGATAAGCATCGACGATTGAAAACTCTCGTACACATATATTCACACACATATGTCGTTTATCTGTCTCTCTAACCCTCTCTCTCTCTCTCTCTCTCTCTTTCTTTATGTCTCTTTCACTCCTATAGTTTTCACCAAAGCAGTTAGAAACTCAAAGGAGTTCTTTTAAGAAAATATTTAAGAAAAAAAAATCGTTCGAGCATTTACGATGAGACGCATATTGGCTGTCAAAAAAAATAGAATTGAGTAAACTTGTCGACGCTAGACAGGCAAACGAGCGGCAATGATGATAATAAGAGACGGCGATCGACTTTCTCTCCCTCTTTCTTCTCTCAACTCTGTCTCTTTCTCTCGCCTCTTTCTCCTCCTTCTTCTCTTTCTCTGCCGTTATTATCGAGCTTGAACACAACAATCACCCTCGCTTGGCCGCTCACGTAGATATATGAAAAAAGAGAAGTAGAAGAAAAAGAGCAAGCAAACAGCAAATAAGAAATAGAAAAGAAAAAAAAAAAGAGGAAAAAAAAGTGAGAAATTCCAAAAGAATAACACGATCTCGTTACTTTTGTCTGTGCTCTGTTATTGGTAAGCAAACGAGATACTCAAGTAACTCATCCTCACTAATTATGCTTTCATTATCATCACAATCAATGCCGCCTTTTTTGTTTCTTTTTGGTGTGTAATTTAGCGATCATATTTTGTAGTTTGTAATCGTTATCAAACAGGTGCAATTTTCCTATATTTAACATAATAACTCATTTCGATGTTCGAGATCTTGTTTTTTTTTCACTTACTATAAATATAAAAATTCATATTAATAACTTTTTTATCCTTATCTTGTTCAAGTAGCGTTTTTAATAAGAGAAAAAAAGAAGCAAAAAACAATTTATTAATTGTATAATCTTATGTTAATAGAAGAGTTGTTTAGTGGAAAACAAAATGAAAAATCTTATTTACTATTCTCAGATTTTTCAATAAACTAATTAATTATGGAAATTGGATATTAAATGAACGGATTCAAGGGAACTATATGAACAGAAAGAAAAATCCGAAACATAAATTCCTTTTTTTTTTTTTTTTTTTAAAGTTTTCTATTGAACATAGATGATTACTAGAAATGAATAAAACTATGAAACGGAAGACATTTCAGGATGTAAGAGGATAGATAAGAGTATGTGTTTATTGTCAGGGTCAAGAAGAGTCCTTTGTTTGTTTTTTTTTGGGCTATGAAAGAAAATTTCGATATGCATATAGGCATTCTAAGTGATTTCGAGTAGTCTATTCAATAAATGACAGAACTGAATCTTTGAATTAAAATGCACTACAAGAAGTTTCTCTTTTTTTTTCTTTGATCGAACGAGATTTTCGAGAAATAATGGAAAAAAAATATATGTGTATGTGTGTGTGTGTGTCATGACAAAAAAGAAAGAAAAATAGAATAAGAAATTTTTTTCTTTTTTGTTTAATAAAAGAAGTATTTGTGTAACGGACATCGAGAATAGTTGTTTGAACAAAAAATAATAAATTGATTATGAACACGAGTTGATTGCATTTTTTAGTTTGAAGATGATTGTATTCGGGTTTTTATTAGTTTGATAAATAAAGTTTTTTTTTTGTTTTTTTTTTTTGTTCGATTTAGTCAGATTGAATCAATACAAATTATTTGTTTTGTTTATCCTGTGTATAAGGAATGTTTTAAGTTTATTGAAAAGTATTTATTTGAGTATAATAGAAATACTTCTTGTATACCTGTAGTTAATAAAGAAATAATAGTGTTTTTCTTTTTCAAACGACTCAATTTTTGATCAGAGATGAGTGGATTGAGTATTAATAGGTACTTATGTCATAATACTATGAAATATTTTTCTATACAATCAAAGGTATCGCAAGATAAATGTGAGTCGAAGCAATTGAGTCAAATACATTTGATAAAGAAATATTGCTCACTTCATATAGAAGTAATGTCTTCTAATTAAAAAAAAAACGTATGGTTACGTTACCATAACCTAATCATTTTCTTTCCTGCTTCCTTGTATCCATTGACTACAACAAATGACTTTGAAAGAAATAAGTTTTCAATCTTTTAGAGTTTCAAATTCTGATTTGTTTTTTTTTCTATCATACGTTTGTAGAAAGGCTCTTTACATGCATATAATAATTCAATTCTTAACTAAGCTGTTCTGTTTTTTTTTAAAATGTTTATCAACTAATGACAATCATGGTGTACGTGACCAAAAGGTTTAAGAAAAAAAAAGCATTTTAAAATTAGAAAGTAGTTTCTTATCCAATGAGAGAAAAAAATCAGAAACATAAAGCCACAAAAAAAAGGAAACTACAAACGTGTCTACTTTCATGTTTGAAATAGACGTATAAGTATTGTTAATAGTATAAAAACCAATGTCTAATTTTTCTGGCATAAAATTGTCTCATCCGGTTTTTGATTCTCACTCTTAATATAAACTCCGAATAGAATCAGTAATATATGACAGGAACAGTGCGATTATAAAAATTAAAGATTGTTTTTGATGAGAAAAAAAAAATATGTTTTTGAAATATCTCTATTTTTATATCTAGAAAATTCAAACTATTTCAAAGAATTTACTCTTAAAAGAAAGATAAATGATGCTGACAACAGATTTTTTATTAAAATAAAATGATGTTTTTTTTAGAAAATACTCAACAATCGTATCTTTATTTTGTATTGAACTACGCATTCATTGTTAATTTTAATATTTGATCATTTGTATGTTTCTGCTTATCATCCTTTTCACAATACATATACACATATTTTTTTATTATATGTTTTCTTTTTCGAATTTTACAACGAAAAAATTCTAAGATACGTAAATGTATTCAAGAGAAAGAAATCGAGATTGATTTCTAACTCTAAAAAAAGATTTCAATACTTGGTGGATACAAATTGGTCTCATAAATTGAAAATTATTTTGTTTTTGAATTCTGGATTTTTCTTCAACGACCGTTAATCCCTATTGAAAAATTTGTAGGATATGACTTTTACGATTTTTTAATATTTTTCCTTATCTGTTCTTATTTTTCTTTATGAAATAGAGTTACTCAAAACAATATTTGAGCAATTTTGTTATCATTCCTATTTCTTGATTTGTATTGTCACTAAAACAAAAAGGATAACATTTTTTTTTAACCTTCACTAATAGATAAACTCGATCTTATCCAGCTAAAATATTTAAAAAAAATAGTTTACTATATTCTGTACTTTGTATCAAATTATAGTTGTTTCGCTTTCTCAATCTATGACCGTTCTTCAGACTTCGAATAAACACATATCGATGAACAAAAGAGAAATGAATCTCATTCTGTAGAGAATTTAGTTTGACCAACTAGATTTAGTAACGGTTATAGTTGTACTAATCTTAATCGTAATCATAGACATAATTTAAGATTTCATTTTTTCTCCTTATTGAAATGTTTTTCCTTTGACTTCATCATTTAAATAATAAATGTAATGCTTTTATTTATTAATATTAATAGAGATATATTATAAAATAATGTACTTATTACACAAAAGAAATCTAATCATATATAAATATTAACTAAAAAGAATTGAAATTTCTAAAAATCTAGAATATGATGAAGATGATTTCTGATATTTGTTTTTGTTTTTTTTTGTTCTTCATATTCGAATGTTTGTATATGGATGGATTGAATGAAAATTATTTCATTATCAATAGTATTATGAAAAGATTAAAAAATTTTTGTTTCTTTTAATAATTAACGAAAAGAAAACAAAAGATTTATTATTGATGAAATTTTTGATTAAAAATTTGTGAATAACTATTCCAAATTTTAGTCACGATCATGATTAGCAAAAATTTATAAAATATTGTAATCATCACGAAAGTCCCATAGGTCATGCTGATCTGTGATAAAAGGAAACAATATTTGAAAGTTCAATATAATGATCTAGATTATTAATTTTTATTATAAATATAGTATAATATGAAAGTTAACAATCATTGACCAAGAATGAAAAGAAATTATATTTTGTTTTTTTTATTAAATAAATTAGAAAATATGGAAAATTTTCTGGATAATATCGGAACATTGTGTTTTCTGTTCAATGGTTATAATCTTTACAGACAAACGAAATCTAATAACGTCATAATTAGATTTGCGTGTATGTCATTTTATTTTGTTATAGAATACTTCTGATCTATTGTATACAAGTATTAATAATGAAGAAGATTTTATTTCAATAATTTTCATATATTCTTATTCATTTTGAATGATATTTTAATGTCATTTTTCTTTCTTTTTTTTTATTTTAAGTTTTTTTTTAATCATTCTATATGTCATGAAAAGAATACTAGAAAAGCTCAATCTCTTCAATAATCCATAAGTTCTTATAGTTTATATTATTTCAAAAGTTTACATAATTAAATTTAAGTACGAGGTGAAAAAAAATTCTTAAAAGATTTTTCTTTTTATGTCTGAAAATTACATTGTAAAATATATATTATTAATCAGAAAAAAATTAATATGATAGTACAAGATAAAAAAACAACTAATGTTATTCGTACATTACCAAGTCATGCATAGTTGAAAAGAAGTTTAGAATCTCTTCAAAGTTCTCGAGACAACTAACAATAGCTCAGGGATAATTTTCTATGCTACATTCTATCAAATAAATATAATAATTCTAAGTTGATGAATTCGACTTAACTTCATATTACATATAGAGAAACTCAATAAAGTACGAAGATGTACTTATTAAATATATGATCGTGAACTCTTTATCTTACATAATCTTAATGTATTGATAAATTAATCATAAACAGATAGTCTTTTACTATGATTTGTAAATTTTACCTGATTAGTATGCTATATTACAATCATATTTATGACATCAACTGAGCTGATAGAGTCATTAAGTGATATCAATTTTCGTGAGGAGTATTTCTCAGGCATTTTGTTTTTTTGTGTAATTTGAGTTATAAATTCTTTTAGTGTGATAATCAGTAATACATAATAAATATAACACAATTGACTTTTACGTGAAAATTTGCTAAAATCTAACATTCTTATGAGAAATGTTTCTGACTAAAAGAACTTGTTCGATAGTGTTATATTTGTAAATTGTTTTTCCATTTGCTTGAGGTTACTGTACTCAATGCCTTCATTTTATACAAATTCATGACCGGAAAAACAATGCATCTATGAGACTTTCGACTGGAACTGATCCGATCCATTGTTGAATCTATTGGTAGTCAAGAGAATGAAGGAAAAAAAGGAAGATTATCTTAAAGAAATCTTTTGAGGCTCACTGCTCGACACTTCCCTTTACTTATTCAAGGTTACTCAGCTGAAGGTACATCGCCGGAAATAAAGAGACGAAGATGTCATGTTTGTAGTAATACAACAAAAGAACTAATACAAGATATGAGTGTACTCAATGGAATGTTGGTTTATGTATTGTATCTTGTGTTGAACTATACCACATTTTGAAAAACTTCTATATATTCATGTTTATAAAACTTTTTAATAAACTAGAACTACAGATTAATTGACGATCAAAAAATATAGCAACGAAGAAATGTTATTTTTTTTAAAACTTTACAGCCAAAGGGTTAAGTATTACTTAAGAGAATAGTCACATGTCCAATTTCAAACTACTATAAATATCTATAGACAAAATAGAAAACAAAACAGTAATAAAAGATCTTCAATTGATAGCTCATTTGATATAAATCTCTTTTTTTTGTATTTCGTTTATTAAACGTCATTAGAATGTTCGTTTCTGTTATATTCAAAAATTACATTAAAACAAAATTTCCAAGAATATAATCTTCAATAGTGGATCTTACAACGGTGAAATTCGACTAGGCATACAATAGAACTAGTAAAAGAAATAATTCAATAGAAATCATTAGAAATGTTTATAAATGAAGAAAAATTACAAGAAATCAAGAGCAAAATACAAGAAATATTGACAATTATGTAAAGTCAAACAAATCAATACGAACCAGAGATTTACTTTTAATTTTATTACTGAAAATTATCTATGATTTCGAGTGACTTTCATTGATTTCTAATAGCTTTCGATAATTTTTTACTACTTTCAATCATGACTCATATCCTTAAGGCATTATAATGATTTCTACCATAGAAATCAGATTATTCCTCCCTTGGAGATAACGATAAAAAAAAATATAATTTTTTCGTGCATAAAGTTTATATATTTATTTCTAAAAGAAAGAAAAAAAAAACGTCAATAATTCATCTGCTAATTATGATTATATACATAAAAAAAAAAAAAACAAACAAACAAACAAATAAATTTATGTACAAATCATTCGTGTAATTTTTTTTTGACATGGTTTACATTCAATATTAACAATATGCCATGAAAAAAAAACAATGACAATTTTCAATTAATTTCATTTCAGTTAAAATTTCATAACCACGATTACAACAAACTTGTTTACATATTTCATCATTAAAACATTCTCGACCTTTTTGTATATTTTGATAATCAATAAATGAATTTGAATAACAATAATTTATTGATTTTCGTGCATAAAATAATTCATTTTTCTTTTCTTGAAATTTAATATAATCAATTGATTGTATATAACGAGCATTTTTATATATATTAAAATATATTTCATAACTAATATCAGTTAATTTAGCTGGTCGTAATCGACAAATTTGTAATTCACATGAACCACTAACACCATGACAATGACATTCATTATACATCATATTTTTAACAATCTAATATAAAATAATAAATTAAAAATTAATTCTTTGTTATCTTTTTTTTTTCTTATATACATTTATATATATTTACCTGTCGGCCAAGTTCTTTATTAGCTTGATTAAGTTTATATAAAAATTTTTCATGAAATATTTTTGACATATTTAAACCATCTGTTATTAAATATGATAATTGAAAAGCAATATTTGGATCTGTTTGACATAATTGTCGATTATTTAAACATAAACAATTTGTATCATTAATTTGACCTTTAATACAAGCATTTATTAAATTCAATGTTAATGTTGAACTTGCTAATGTTGTATAAAATGAAGCTTCTTTTGATGCTTAAACAAAAAGAAAACTAATAAATAAATAAATAATTCATAAATAGAAAAATATATCAAAACACACCTTGTCGTAAAAATCTTCTTAATGAAATAATTTTTGAACTTAATTGACAACCCCATGGATGATGACGAAAATGATATTGACATTGTTGATGAGTTTGAATATTTGATTCATAAAGAATAATATGTAAATGAGGAATTTTTGAACATAAATAATCTGTATTTTCTCCAATAAATGAACGATAAGATTGACATGTTAAACCTTTAATTAATTGAGTTGTTGGTGTTAAACCTAATAACCTAAATAAGATTTAAAACCACAGAAAAAAGAAAAGAAACTAAAGATTTCTAAATATATATTTTTATAAATGAATATTTACATAAAATCACTTGGTAATGTTTTTGCTTGTGTGATTATAATCAATGAAATTAGTATGATTAATGTTGACATCGTATTGATTTGATTTGAGTATGTTATATGCATTAGCTTTTTAAATCAATATATTGATTTCGTCTCGCCGTATGTTTTGTTTTTTTTTTTTCTTCTTCTGGTGGTCAATTGTTTGAATGTATTCAATCAAAGAATATTTTGTTATTGTTACATCTCACTCTCTCATTTGCTTTTTCTCTGGATCATAAACGTTAAACATAAAAAATAAAAAATGTGCTATGAGCGGTGATCAACCGAGAGAAAGGTGTCAAGAATGAAAAGGTGTCACATAGCTTTTTAATGTCCTTCAGAACGAATAACACCCATCTGTGACCAAAACATGCCTCATTTTACCATCATATAAATATGAATATTATAACTTTATAGCTTTTAACAATGAGGACATTATATGCATTGCAGACATTCCTTTATATTGTATCAAGTTTGATAGTTGATCAAGCGGAAATGTGATCATAATAAGTATCTATCAATACGCCTTCCTTTTCTTTTTTGGACAAGTAGAATATTTCTTTTTTTTTCTTTCCACAGTAATCATAGTTCTTAATTATTGTCAGAAATGGGAGGAGTTAAAATTTGGTAGTCAGTTTTCGGACAAGTAATCAACATTTTTGCAGACATATTGCACCAGAATGAAAAGAGACTAATACCCGGAGCTCCTCATTCATCGAGATTCATAACAATGATGAATTAAATTTAATAGTTTAACAAAATCTTTCAATTGTTGATCTATAACCAAAGGCTTTTTTTTTTAAAATTCAATTGAAGAATACGCTTGTTCAATACTTGATGAAGTTTTATGATTGTATAAGTGTTATATGAGGTGAGAAAACAAACGTTTTTTTTTTTTGAAGTATAATTCGAGAGACAACAGAAAGAAGAAAAAACAGATGAATATGTGACAATAATCGGAATAATGTCTTCTGTTTCGCACAATCTAGATTACATAGATTCTTTTGAAATATATACTAAAATATGCATATGACAAGAATTCTTTGACAATGTCATCAATAGAAATCACAATCAATTCAATGGATTTCTTTTTCTTTTTGATTTATACGACGACATTGGCATGCCACCGGAAGTAAAACTTCAGTCTCAATAAATGCACTTGACACTTCATTTAGCTAAAATTTCTCATTAGTGTATTGAAACATGACTTTGATAAAAAAAAGAAAAATGAACAAATACAGTCATTTGATATCGATAGAATGACTTTTTACAAAAGTTTTTTTTTTACTTTAATTTTTTTGTTTTTAATCATTCGATATTATTTATGTGCAAATTGCAATAATATTCGATAGATGCAAAAATTAAACTTCATTGTATCAATGACAATCAACTTATAATAAACTAGAAATATTTCTTTAAGTTGATCAAAAATGAGAGTCATTCAAAATATAGATCGATTCATAAGATAATCTTCTTATAATTTCTGAAAAGATCCGATACATATAAAGTTCTTCAATTCCGAATTTAATAATTCATTTGTTTCCTTGTATCAAACAAGAGAGAAAAAAAAAGAGCATAAAATAGAAAAAAGATTCTATTAAGATAAAAGAATAGGAAGTATCTAAAAAAGAAAAAAAAAGAAAATCAAATATTTGATTTTCTTTTTTATTTTTTTTTTTCGTTTTTTATACATCAATATAAAACATACACATGAAATTATGTATCCAAATGAAAAAATAAAATTTTTCGACTAACATTAACAACAGCTGTTTCTTGTGTTTCTTCATCTAAACCAAGATCAATTATATTCGATAAAATTAATGTATCATCATCTGTAATAGCAAGAAATCGTGCATGAAAAAGTGTATTATCATCTTGTGTTTGTTGTTGTTGATGATACATATCATAAGGATTTCCTATTCCATGATAAAATGGTTGCATTTGTGATGTTGATCTAGGATTATTTGTCCATATATGTGATGATGGATGTCTACCACTAGCATTCCACATAGCTTGTTGTTGTATCCATGCTATTGTTTGTGGATTTGGTTTTCTTGATGGTTGACGTACAATATTAGCAAGTGAATTTGGTGTATGATGTCCTCCAAGTGTCATCTCATATGTATATGTTCCATGTATAGTTGGTATAATACGATTTGGAATATAATATTCTCGACGTAATTGTCCTTCTTGATCAAAAACAAGTACATGATTATTAAATGGATGTACATCACAATTCCAAACTAAAACATATATTAAATCTTGACGTGATACACATAAATAAACTGTTTGTAAATAATGAATATTTGGTGTTGTTATTAACCAACGATATATAAATGAACCTGTTTGATTATTATATATACTTATTTGATTTGTTTTTGAATGTAAACAAACAAGAAATGTTGAACCAGATGATATACAATCAATATTTTCAATATTTATTGACCAATTACGATCTAAATTTATTAAATTTAAACCATCATATACATATATTGATGATGTTGAACGTTCAACGTCAACAAATAATAATTCATTTGTTATTGGTAAACGTTTTGATGTTGAAATACAATGACCATTTTGATCAAAAAATAATAAACGTTGTTTAAGTGTTTGGCTTGGTGATGTATTATCTAAAGGTTCAGTAACATAAACACGTATTTCATTAACAATGAAACAATTTTGTAAATTATTATTTAATGTTGATGATAATAATTTATAACCATGTAAATCTTCAAATTTATATTGTAAAATAAGATCATTTGTATGAATTTTTCTACCATTTGTATCATATAATTTAATAGTATGAATTTTTGTTGAACCAAATACAACAAGTAATTGATTTAATATTGAATTAACAACAAGATAAAGATTTGTTGTAAAATGATCAAGAGCAACAATTGATGATGGAATAATATAAGATGATTTTAATATTGGTGGAAATGTATATGATTGTTCAGATGTTGATATTGGATTCATTGTTGATGATATATCTGGTGAAGGTGGATCGAGTGATTCATATATATGTGGAGTTTGTGAATCATTGGATGAGCCTAGAATTTTTTTAGATGGAACTTTTATTGTACGACGTTTTATTAAATTACGCATAGAGCTACGAAGCGAATGTCTTTGCATATTAACGGGCTTACCCGCCTCGTTTTGATTGATATTGTTTACACTTGGATTTGATCGTACTATTGGTCGATTTTTATTCAATGTATCATAAACATTGAAATTTTTTTCTGATTTTTTTGTTTGATCAATTTTTATACTTGGTAAATAATTTTCATCTGAATGAGATAAAGATATAAATGAACGTATTTCATTAATTAAATGACGTGCAGTAGTAGGTGAACATGGTTGTTTTTGAAAATTTTCAGCAACATGCAAACAATTTTTTAAATCATTATTATTTTTCATAGCAAGCATAGAATAAGCATCTGTTATAACTTCTTTAAGCAATAAAATCTCACCGTTATTTGTTGTCATAGATGAAGAATTTGTTGATGTTGTTGTATTAGGATTGACTGTAAGTACTTTATCAAAACGACGACGAAGTGATGCGACAAATGAATTCATTTTATTATATGCTGATGATGATTGATCAGTAACGAAACGATATACACTATCGACTGTGTCATTCATCGTTGTTGCGTTCTTGATTGATAGAAAAAGTAAACAAATAATAATAATTGTAATAAGGTTGTTTTTAATTTCCTATTCACCTTTATGTGTGTCACTAGTCGAAATAGTTCGTTTATCGTTAGAAAAAAATAATTTAGTTTATATATATGTATGACAAGTGTAGAGCAAAAAAAAAAGAAGTAATTGAACTTATAGAACACTTGAACGAGCAACTCAACGAAGCATGACCATTTTGTTCATATCGGCTATTCTGTTCTTTTCTTTTCTTTTTTGTTTGAAAGGTCTTGATTGCTTAGGCAACAATAAAAATTAAACGAAATTTGTTTAAAATATATATATATATATATAAAATATGAATAAAAAACTTATGTTTATATGTTATTTCGTTATACAATGAATAAAATCATTTTAAAATATTGTTATAACGATATTTAATGGTTATAATCGAACTTATTGGAAGTATATCATTAGCCATTGCTCTTGTAAGTGCTGTTGCATTTGCTATTATTCATATTAAAAATAAACAATATGATATAACATATATTCATGATCATACATTGAATAATATCGAACAACCGAATATAATAACTAAATATTTACAAGATGAAATCAACCAATCATCATTAGTTTTACCTTTTAAAGAATTCAAGTGAGAAATTTTTTTTCTACATTATTTCATCAAATATTCAAATACAAATTTACTTTAGTTCTTGAAAATATTATAGGAAAAAGAAAATTTTCTCCTTCTCATAGGAATTTATCATGAGTAGAATTCTCTTTATTGACAATGAAAACTTTTATTATTCATAAGTTCAATGAGAAAAAAATCAGTTTGCATGACTTGAGCTAATTTTAGTTATGTTTGAAACGATGCAGTCAATATTCAAATGTCATGTTATCAGCTGACATTATCTTATCTTTTATTTACTCACTTAAAATTTCAAAACTTATTTTGTTAATAAACAAAAGATTTATTTTCTTTCTCAGTCAAGATATATCGATAAATTCTTCATCAAAAACAAATATTTCTAAAGAATTATCTATAATTAATGTCATTAATAATGATGAAATATCGTCATCTTCTATAAAATATGGTATCCAATGGACATTACCATCAAAAGACGATATTCAAGTTGAAATAATCAAATCATCATCTAATATTGTAAAAACTTCTGAATTTGATCAAGGCGATTCATTATCATTTAATGATCAAACAATAAATGTACGACATTTAATTGAAAAATTTGAAAATAATTCAATAAGAAAAATTTATCGAAAAGAAAAGTATTTTTAATTTAATAAATATAAATTAAAAATTTTCTTTTGTTTTTTTATTTTAAGAAATAATCAATCTGATTCTGATTTAACAAGTATCGAAACAAATATTGATAGTCAAACTGTAAAAATTGATTTTAATCAAAATCAACAAAAACTTTTATATCATTTATCAATATCAAATCTTGATGTGACAATTCCATCGAATCTTTCATCATCTATCGATCTCGAACACTTTGAAAGTTCTTCAACAACATCAAATTTAAGCGAATTTTTAAATAATAATAATTAAACAATTGTATAAGTTTTTTTTATTTTCTTGAAATAATTTAATCGAAAATCAAAGAAAAAATAAGAATCAAACTACAAAATCGGACGTTTTTTTTTGTTTTTGTTCCTCACAAAAATTCATCGATTTTACAAACACGATTTTCTTTTCGAGCTGTTTCAGCAGCAAATGCTATTATATGACTAATTAATGAATCTTCAGGACCTGTTCCAATTAATTCAGGTTTATTTAATGATAATGCTCGTATAAATGAGTCCATAGCAAAAAAATCTGCACCACCGTGACCACTCATAACACCAGCACCGGAAAAATCAGTTTCATCATAAACTGTACGTTTTTGTGTAAGAAAATCATAATGAACTAATGTGTCTCCACCTTTCCATGTTAATTCACCATGAGTACCAAATATACGTGATGTACGTTGACATACTTCTTCTGTAAATGCAACCATTTGCATTGTTGCTGTTGCTCCTATGATATTCAAAATGGAAATTTAATTTAGTTCTTCAAAAAAAGATCAAAATCGAATAAAAAATGATAATTTTTTTTTTGTCTAATGATAAATAAAAGTTTATTTATTTGGAATTCATTATTCTATGAAATAATTATTTCTTTTCTATGAAAAAAAAATTGAACGTAGCTTTTGAAAAAATATATTCAACCATTGAACATTTTGGTATTAGTCAAATTTTGATTAGTATTTTTAGTTGAATATTTTTAATACTCATATCTCCATTTTCAATATTGATTGTATTATTCATTTCGAAAAAGAATAGATTTGCCTATTTGTTAAATAACTCGGCAATGCTGATAGCTATCGAATTCAGATTTTCGCTATTAAAAAGAGTATGAGTGAAGGTACAAATCTACCTGAGAATCAAAATACTTAAAAAGTTTTCTAGGGATTCCAGGGATTTTTTTGAAAAATTACTATCTGATTCACTTAATTAGCTGTATTTTCAAGTGCAATTGAAAAATCCAATATCTCGAGAAAGAAACATACTTCTTGGCTAACAGTTTTATAATATTCTATGGCTCATTAGACTAATGAACTACATAGGTCTCCGAAACCCGATTCCGACTACGATAATCATCAATTATGTGTTAAAATTTGTTACTCATAATTTCTCTTTTATTTGTTTCTGAAAAAAAAACATGCCGAAATATGTCTTATGACAAAATAAACTGTATTTTATTTCTTATTAAGTCGCCAATTGTTTTTCTCCTTTCAGAATATCGAACCTTAATATGAATTTTATGTCGATAAACTACAAAACACAGTTCCGGAGTTTTTTCGGAGTCGGAGTAGAAATCGAAGTCGCAAAAAATTATTTTTAGGAGTCAGAGTCGGGTTTCGGAACGAAAAAATGCGACTCCGCTGATCACTACATTAGACCTATCTATGGACAAATTTTCAGGTTGAAGTTTCGTAATTTCATTTTCCGGTAAATACGTAGGAAAGAGTCGAAAATTCAGTAAAAATGGTCATATTTTTTAAAGGAAAGGTTGACGACGCTTAAAACTATCGGAGTTTCTCAAGTAGACATTGGACTACAATATAGTTAAATTGAAATTGAAAATAAAGCTAATCAAGCGAATCAGACAGTGATTTTTCAAAAAATCCTTGAAACTCTCTAGAAAACTTTTCAAGTATTTTAATTCTCAGATCGACTTGTACTAAGTCCATTCTTTTTCGAAATGGTTAATAGGCTTATATTGACAATCGAGATTGAAATCAGTGTGTTCAATTATATCAGATAATTCAGATCTCGAAGTTAGAGCTAGTCGGGTCCAAAATTTTCAGAGTTGGGATCAACCTGATGGACTCTATTCGAAATCTTCATAGATGAAAAATTGCTTTCTATTGATTATGTTGAATAAAATCTAATCGTTTCTTTCGAACTTGTAAAATTCATTTTGTTTTTACCATCATCAAAATTTAATATAACCACTTGTTGATCTACAACATCATTATTACAATCTCCATAAACACATTTTCCATATGGTCCATTTTCCAAAGCATGTATAACTTTACTTTTAATTTGATCCCAATTTTCATTATCTTCAATATCTGGTACAAGAACTGAAACTGGCCAATGACGATTAGGTGTTTCAAGATAAATTTTTTTTGCTGAATACGGACATGTTGATTCAACAGCACAAGTTAAACATCGATCACTAGCACCTTTTGGTTTATTTTCACTGTTAAAATGCATCAATTTTCCAAAACTTGAAATATCTGTACATCGACGTGGTTGCATCCAATATTGAATTAAATCCAAATCATGACAACATTTAGCTAGTAATGAAAAACAACTTTCATTTTCATTATGCCAATTACCACGTACAAATGAATGAGCAAAATGCCAAAAACCTATATATAAATAAAATCAATTTCAATGATCATTTTTTTTTAAATTAAAACTCTTTTCTTTACCAACGGGTTCAATATGTTGAATTGAAATAAGTTTACCAATAACATTGTTATCCAATAATTCTCTAATTTTTCTTACAACAGGTAAATAACGTAAAACGTGACAAACAGCTAATATAACATTGTTATCTCGACAAACTTGAACAATTTCTTTACAATGTTCAAGTTTCGTAGCCATTGGTTTTTCTAATAGAATATGATAACCTTTCTTAGCTAATTGTATAGTTGCTTCATAATGTTCTCGATCTGGTAATGTTATAAGAGCACAATCAGCAAGACGTTCAACATTTGAATCAGCTAATCGACGCCAATCATCATATACATATTTATCTTCAAGTGAATAAAGTTTTTGTATTTTTTTACGTACACTTATTCGTGGCTCAGCTATAGCAATTAAACGAAAACGATTTGGTAAATGACGAGCATACTCAGCATAATTTTGTCCACGATTACCACCACCAACAATTATTCCTGTAATTTGTCGATATGCATCACTTTCCATTTTAGTGTTAGTTATTGAAATATATCTCTTATCTTAAAGTATGTCAATATATTTTTCTGTTGGTTTGATTCATGCGTCCAATCAATTTTGAGCAAGACAAAAAAAAAAGGGTCGCCATGATTGTGGTGGAAATGCGTACATGATTATATTAATATATGTTGAGTAAGTGCTGTCTAGGAATTATTATTATTATTATTATAAATATTTTGATTAAATAATATTTCATAATCCAAAAAAAAGAAGGCAAAAACAATTCAAATGTTTAATAAATTTTCAATGATTGTTTATTTTAGTCGCATATCAGATTTACCCTGGATCTAAATCAATAGAAATATAAATTCGAACTTCTTTTCAAAAATTATATTTCTCTATATTCATTAATCATGTAAATACACATCTCTTTTAATATATCTAAATCAATAATGAGTTTATATCAAATAATAATGTACATTTCGAGATCATCGAGAATACTTAATCATTGCCATATTGATTCATTTTTATTTTATATGAGTGCATGTGTACACTTTTATTGTTTTACAAGCATAATTAATTTTTCTCTGCTTTGTTTTGTTTTTTTTTTGAATAGAAAATCTCGTCATGGAAAAATCAATTCTTGAACAAATTTTAAAAGTTGTCGAAACAGTTTATGGTACATATACTAAAGGAAATTGGATACCAAAACCATATGCTGATAATAAAAGTCGATATTTATGGACAGATGCATATGGTGTTTGTAATTTTTTAACATTATATCGTGAAACAAATGATATAAAATATCTTGAACAAGCTGATGCACTTATTAATAATGTACATGATACACTTGGATATGAACGAAATGGTAAAAAACGTTTAGGAAATGCAACAGATGAATATCCAACTCGTGGTGGATTACGTATTGGAAAAATTGAAGATGAAGGATCACATGATGGTGATGGACGTAAGTTTTAAATAAATGTATTATATAAATATTCTTATTTATAAATAATTTTTAGAATATTTTCATTATTTAACAAAATGGGCATTTGCATTAAGTCGAATGGCAAAAATAAAAAATGATCAACGTTATATACGATGGGCTATTGATTTAATAAAAGCAATTCATCCACATTTTGTTTATCGTGATCGTAATGATCAACTTCATATGTATTGGAAAATGAGTATTGATTTAACATATCCAGCTGTACCATCTGAAGGAAATCTTGATCCATATGATGGTTATATAACATATCGATTAGTTGATGAATTAGCTGAAGAACGAGAATTAGAAAAAGAAATAGCTGATATGAAATCAATGGTTGATATTAAATATGCACGTTATCGTTCATCAGATCCGCTTGATTTAGGTGAAGCATTATGGATTACACATTGGTATCCTGATGAACAATGGGCTAAAACAATAACAACAAAATCATTACAAGCACTTGAAGAATTATGGCAACACGGAGATTTTCAAGAATCATTAAATCGACGATTAGCCTTTAGAGAATTTGGTACAACTATTGGTGTACAAGTTAATGATAAAGCTGGAGATATATGGAAAAATAGAATTAATGATCTACATAATCTTTGGTTACCACATCTTTATAAACGAGATAAAGATATTTCACCAGTTATGTTTTGTACTAGTCTCCGACCTGGTGTTGTCAGTCGTCATTATTTACCATAGAAAACTTTTTGTTTTATTTTGCATATATGTAATTGAGCAAAGCAAATAAACTAGCAATTATTGTTTTTTTCATTAAATCTATCCGATTAAAAGATACGGAATGATCGTTGACATTCATTTTCTTTGACATAATTAATAGATTGATATGAAAGATTAAATCTTTTGATTTATATGATAAGTTATTAAGAATATTTTCTTCCACCATTCCAGGATTTTTGGAGAACGACTTATCAGAAAAATTTGAAATTTTCATAGCAGGTAAGTTTTGATGAGTAAAGCAATAGTTGTCATAAACTTAAAGCTTTCGGATATTGTGTTCTATGAGATACTTGGATGACAATCGCGAAAAATGGCTCCAATTTTCGCTCATTTCTTTGAAAGCCTATGTTCCATCGAGTTGAAATTTTTTTTTTACTGGCACTAGACACTGTTTTGAATGGATGTTTTTTTATTTTTTCTCCTTCAACTAACAAAGCCAAAATATTGAAGATATTCTAAAAAAAAACACATGTTTTTTTGAATAGAACTTTTTTTGTAAGAGCTACCAAAACAATCAGCAGAACAATAATTTTTGAAACAAAAAATTGATACCCATCCGAAACAATGTATAGTATATGTGAAAAAAAAACTTCAGCTCGATCGGAAATTCAAGACCCAAAAAACAGAGGCGATTTTTTTGTACTTTTTTTGTGTAAAAATTCATTTCGAGAAAAATGAAAAACGGATTTTCCTGTATGTATTAGCACTTTTTTCTCCAGTTAAAGTGATCGAAAACTGACCGTGTTCAACGGTATTTGAGGCAGGTTCATAATCCATGCTCTCAATGCATTTAGAATGAAAAATATTTCATTATCATTAGATAAATTTTTTATACAAAGAATAATTGCAGCATGAGTTTTTTGAGAACTGGGTTTAATAAAAGTATTAACTAACAACGTCGAGTCCGCATTAATATAGCATTTGATGCGATGAAATGACTTTCAAGTAGTGAAAAATCAATTTAATGCTATTTAGTAAATGAAACCAATGTCAAAACAGTGTTGTCAGACATTATATTTGTCATAAGACTTTATTGTATGCATGCACTTACGGATAGAACAAAGAGCTACTTGTTGATAATATGATAAGTAAGAAGCAATAAGTCCTTCCAAAAATGGATCTACAACTTTCTAATAGCAAGGGAACTAGCTGTTCTTGATATTGAGATAATCTAGAACGTAGTACAAGGTTAGATACATATATCATCATAATGACGTAATGTATATCAAATGACCACATTTCATAATTGTTTGTTTATAATAAAAGACATACTATATCGATAAAAACAATTATTGTTGAGAAAAAATAGCTTAATAATAGATCTCAATAATAAATTTGTTATTATTTAATTATAATTATCTTATCTTATTGCTATTGTACTTCAGGTTCAAGTTGTTGTTTTATTTTATTGTAACTCCAAGCCTTCAAGACTATTTTCAAATTTGGTTTCTTCTACATAATTTATTTTTTGTTGGAAATAATGTCGACCGTTACTCGTTCATGACATCTTACATTCATATTTAATCTTAGTATTGCTTTCTTGAATGACAGCAGAATATATATCCTATTTCTTCTGTTCTATTAGTTCTAACATGGCATTAATTTTCAATAATTGATTGAATGAGCAAGAAAAAAAGAATAAAACTAATTCATCTAGAATTGCATTAAATTGTAAAAGTCTCTATATAAATCTTAGTATTTCAAAATTGAAATGCACTATTTTATTACTAGATCTAATTGAGAAGAATTTCATGAAAAAATAATACATTTATTTTTGATAAATGAATAGTCATTTAAGAAAAAACAAAGAAAAAAAGTTTCATTGACGTGTATCACGATAAGGACTTCGACTACGATTTCGAGATGAATGATGATTATTTGAAGAATTTCGATATGAATGATGATTATTTGAGAAATTTCGATATGATTGACGATCATTTGAAAAATAACGTCGTTGATTATTATTATTATTATTATTAAATTGTTGTGATCGATGAGTATTTCTTTCTTGATTCCAGTCAGGAACAACTGGTGGACTATTTGAACGTTGAGTCATTTGAATATATTCTTCATCTTCATTAGTATAACGTTTAGAAAAGAGTTCATTTAATCTCTTTAATTCTTCCGTATCTTTTTCATTTTTTTTATTATCATCTATTGTTGTCATCTAGAAAATGAAATAAAAAAAAAAAAAAAAACTTAAAATTTTACATCTGTTCAAATTCTCAACGATATTGAATTGACAAGATGCATTAGTTATTAAACGACTAATATGTTGATTGAACGTGTCGTGCAATCGAGAGAAAAAGAAAAAAAAGTAACGTACGAGCCGAATAAAAGAGAATTGATTTTTCTTCTTTTTTGATTGCTATGATTTATTTTAAACGACATCAAAAACGGAAAATACTTCAATAATCATGGAACATGCATATTATTGGAATATTCATGAAGAATATCATCCAAAAAATCGTTTATTAAAATATTCAAAATCATCAAAAATTTCTAACGAAACAGTACAAATACTTTCACAAATACGAAAAATCTATAACAAATTACCACCAATCATCTATTCTCTACAAGATAGACAAGAAAATGAAGGTATAGATTTTCAAAAAAACAAAAAACGATTTATTGTATCGATTTTTTTTTCTTTTATATTCTTTTCAAAGACTTTATACTTGAATATGATATCTTTGGTCAACAATGCAATTTACCTTTGAAAAACTTAAAAGCTATTTGGCAACCGACATCATTCTATGTTTCAGATGGTATCTATGAACAAATAAAGTGTGATCTATTCTCATCTCGAATAAATAAAGATTATATACTTCTTTGTTTATTTCCAATATATGCTGATATGAATCGTCAAAAAAAATTATTAACTGGTCAACAAAATGAAGAAATCTTTCTTCCATCAACAAAACCAAGTACAGAATATGATATTAATAATTTAGTTGAACGTTTTCATATGATGTTATATAAAGAACAAGCACTTGAAATAGGTTTATGTCAAAAACGTCGAAGAATCTATAATGATTTATTTGATGAACTTATTCGTTTAACAACACTTCAATGTACGGAACGTGGTCTTTTACTTGGAAGAATTAAAAATGAATATGTAAAATGGATGAATACATATGAAGAACTTTATTCAAGTGGTATGGCTTATAGTTTAAGACAATATTTATATAAAGCAGAAGAAAAACAAAAATATAAATATATTATTCAACAATTAGAAAATGATTGTCAACAATTACATAATGAAATTGAAAAAGAATCAATACGTTATGAACAGTTAACTCAATTAATTAATAAGGATACAGAACAAAATTTATTAAAAACTAATGTTAATATATTACGATCAACAAATGAAATACTTCGACGTGATCTTCAAAATACATTAAATCATATTTTATCATCAACTATTTTTCTTGGAGAACCAATTGATTATGATAAAGAAAAAGATTACTGAATATATGTATCTATATATAGGTTTTTTTTTTCTTCCTTTCATTCGAAATATAAAATAAATAAAAAACAAACGAACGAACATGTCATTCTAAAAATGGAATTTTCATTGGTGTAGGATTTTGCATGTAGGTAATAACAACAGCAGATATTGAAAGCCTAAATAAAGATGAGATTTATTTTTTTTTAACTAAATACAGAAAGAAAGTAAGAAAAATCTTGCTGACGCAGAATTATTCTACAAATAACAGATTTAAGATTCATTAAATAAATGTTATTCCGCTCCGATACGCAACGAGAAAGATATAAATATACAATGTTGACCTACTTTGATTCTATTAATTGATTCTATCATGAAAAGATTTCTAAGAGAACCACTTCAGATGCCTCTTTGTGATTATAATATTTTTTTGCCTAAAGATACTACGTAGTCTGCTAATAAAAACTCCAAAAAGGATTTAGGTTTATGTTCAGATTTGACCAACGAGGGAACATATCCAACTGTCGAACTCCGTTCGATTTCGTATTTTGCCTATGAATAGAACTCAGTGAAAATAAGAAAATCTTTAAAAGGTTTCGTCCCAAGCATCATTCAGCCAGAGTTATGAGTGTTTTTGACCACTGAGCCAGTTATTCATGGAAAACACAATTTGAAGATTTCCATCTGAAATTTCACTTATAGACAAATCTCATAGCCAATAGAATATGACAAAAATATAACCGAGCTTTCCACGCATTGGTGATCTCGAAGCGGAATACCCATTAAAACGATCATAACTCTGATTGGATGATGCATGAGCACGAACTCATATTGGATTTTCTTAATTTTACTGAGTCCTATTGATAGCCAAAATATGGGATCAAAAAGTATCCAACAGGTGAATATGTTTCCTTGTTAAGCTATCGAATTTTTAATATATCTATTTTCTAGAAGCCTTATATTTTCTGAAAACTCGTACTTTCGAATTTTGATCTGAAAATTTTCATTTATAGAGAATTGAACTAGAATAATTTTCATAAAAAAATTTACAAGTTTTGAACAAAGTCTCTTCAAAATATAGACCCTTTTCCATGGATAGTGTATACAACATGTAGTTTTTGACAATTTCATATCTTGAAGAGATTTTGTTCAAAATTTCTAATTTTTTTTATGTAAGCTAGTCTAGTTGAGTTCTCTGTATGCGCAAAGTTTTAGATCAAAATTCGAAAATCCGGAGTCTTTAGAAAATAAACATATTAAAAATTCGATAGTTTAATTAAATCTCAATAGTAACCCAAATTCTTTTAGAGTTTTTATTAGAACACTATGTAGTATGTATCAACAAAAAAAAAATTCATTGACATCGGACGAGGGTCATCTAAAGAAGTTTCCTTGTTAGTTAGCATTAGTTTTTTGATTGTAAAGGAGACTCTTGAAATTGTATTGTTCCACAAATGTGTATCAGAAACACATGTGTTTTTCGAAAAAAAGTAAAATGATTTTATGAATTTGTTTTGATAAAGCTATCTAATAGATTCGAATTCAATCTTTTGAGAATTTATACAAAACTATAAAGACTTAAGTCTCATAATAAATTAATCGAAGAACACATAAATACTATTCATTGAAATCGTGTCTTATGTATGAAAGAAGTATATCTTTTAAAAGAAATACGATTTAAAATAAAGCTTTTCTCTATCAAACAAAGAATCTATTCTGTACAATACATAAACAAAAATCATTTATGATGAAAAGATCCAAATTTAGGAGTAAGTATGAGTTCTACATTAACTACAAATGATATTATTTTGAAAATTTTCTACTATTTATAATAAATTTTTTCTTATGAAAATAACCCATTTGAAGTACATGATATAAAATACATACATGAAACCACTAAGAACTTGTTTAGTATCTTCCGAAGCTCGTGAATTAGCAAAACCAATACATGCTAAATATTCATATTTTTAATAAGAAAAAAAAAAGATTGTATTAAAGAAATTTTTACCAGAAAATAATGCAATCCATCCGCACCATTTAATCTAGAATTTATTTTAAGAATTAATATTTCTATATAAGATATTCTCGTTATTTTTAATTACTTTGAGCATTAATGAACACATAGAAAAGATCATTCCTATTAAATTCATATAATCAGGTAGAGCATCATCTACTGGTGTAATAAATCCTGATTGAAATCTTTAAGATAAATTTTATAGAATAGAAAAGTAAACATAAAATGATTAATACCTATGAATACGATTTGATCGACGATTATCCATTGTACTCGAAGGATCTAAAATAGTTATTTAAGGGTACGATTTTTCTACAGAGTACACACACACCCTATTCACTAATTAGTTTGATCTTATAATGCAAAATATTATATGTGAACGATGGTGTGTATGTATGTTGTGTCTGAAGTACCAAGATTTCTTATCATACTGGTGTGCCTTTGCATTGGTTATGATAAAAGACATTGAAGTAAGAATTGAATTATAGATGGCGTTGAAAGTTAATTTCAAATCTCGTTTAAATGTAGAAAGAAATAAATATATTAAGTTTGAATATGATATGATTATATTTTCTTTCAATTAGAAAATTTATTTTCCTATAAACTCTGTAAAACCTATTAGAATATAGTACAAAGAAAAATATTTCCCATTATAGTTTTTCAAGTATTCTTGTTGTAGAATGATAAACAATACTTGTAGTTTTCTAATAGGTTTTTCTTGTGTTCGCATCATTAGTCTTTCTTTCGTCATTATAAATGTACTAAATAGGAAATACTTAACTGTGAAGTTATTTCATTGTTCGATAGAAAAGAAATTTTTCATCTTTTCATGAATGTATTAGAAAAATCCGGTAAATCAACTGAAACACTAATTGAAATAGTTTTGGTTTGATTGACAGAAAAGAAATGTATGAAAATAATTGAAAAGTTAAAAATTTAAATTTATTGACTCGTTCAAGATGTTCAGAAGAATCTTCATCATATGTGACATGTTGGACTATATTCGGTTATTAAATAAAGATTATTTTTTTTGTTTTTTGTTCTTCATGTTTTTTCTAATTGACAAGTGAAATTTCTGTTCTCTTTCATTAATAAGTGACGTAGGGACAGGCAAGTCAAGCCATTTCTCAAGTCGAGTCAAGTCAAATTATGTTTGCCACTTTTTTTCGTGTTCTATTTATTTTTATAAAGAATGTCAACAACAAATTTTTAATTATACGATATCGGCGGTTTCTTGCTTTCATGCACAAAAACAAAATAATAAAAATTACACATCAAATAGCATGGCACTACTACTCTAAATTAATCAACAAGATAATAATAATAAAGTCAATTCTTCTCTTTTATATAGTTCTACATCACAGTAAAAAAAATGATCATTTTTTAATAAACAAAAACTTAAGCTTGAACCTATTTATAAGCAAAAATTATTTATTATCATTTAAATTAATGTTCTATTGTAGTTTAAAGATTTTCAAATACATATATTAACTTCTGTAAAACTTGAACGACTCAATCTCATTAAAAGATTGCTTGAAGAAAACATACATTCAATTGATGTTTATATAGCAAGAACACATATGATTTTTCTAGTAAGCTTATCAAGAAATCAATATGAATTTATTTATTTGAAAATAACAGGGTGAGTGTAGATAGGAAGAAGATCGCACACACACACCTATACTCGTTATTGAGAAATAAATAATCTGAAGTGAATGATAGAAAAATTTGATTATCAAAAATATTGTCATTCAATGATTATATCAAACCATGATAAAGAATATGACATGTTATGCAATGCAAAACTTTCAGTTGATTTACAGGATTTATTTGATACGTCTATGAAAAGATCAAAAATTTCTTCTTTCCTTCGTGTCATTTTGTTTATGATCATGTGACAAAAAAACAAATTATACGCATTTCAAAAGAAAAGATATAGTAATCGATATTTTGTGTTGCTATTGTAAAATATACAAAAACGGTAGAATAATTTTTAGGGTGTCACTATTTCTTTTCATACCGGTCTGTTTATGAGTGTCTAATAAAAATAAGTCAATATGTAGTTCGAAAGAAGAGAAAATTGCCAATTGAATAGTTAAAAAAAAAAGTTTCTTTCCAGAGTCGTGTCTATGAAGAAATATAAGCATCAATATTATTTTGTGTCATTACTTGTGTATCGTATGTTACTTATTGAATTCATTTAGTAAACGAAATATTATGAGGAAAAAAAAACCACAGAATTTGAAATATGTTTCATTGATATCTTACATAATTATCATATGAATTGACATTAACTGAAAATAATGACTATATAGTTATCAATCAATTGTGAATTTAAAAATATTTTCTATCTTACAATTGAACTACAAGTTTCTATAAGAAGAAGTTTGTTTACTAAATTTTATAGTTATAAATTTTTAGTTAAATAAATTTACAAACAATTAAATGCATTTCATTTACAGATTTTAGTATTTCTTTTATGATGATTGAAATTCGATAATGTATAAAATTTTATTCATAATTCAATATGAACTGATTTGCAAAGAACTTTTTCTTTTCATATTTGTTAATGTATGTCTTATCTCTCGAAATTTCAATAAAGATATTATTTATTAAATTATCAATCAGTTCATTAGTAGTAGAAATATGAATTTAAAGTTAATATTTAATTAATGATATCTTAGTAAAGGACATATTGTCATTGAAATTGAAGGAAAAAGTAATTTTTCTTCTATTCTATCTAATACTTTTCTTTATTAAGTGTTAACAGCTCGAAATATTCTCATTTGGATATTGACACTAATTTTTCGCTATTGATGTTTATTACTATCATGAAATTATTCATTTTGTATTTGTTGAAAACTTTTATATAAAAATTAAACATCAATCAAACTTTTTTTTTCTTTAGTTAACTGATAATTTGTTAATGTAAACCATGAAGTATGTATCTTTTTCTTTTTGTGTCTACTGGTGGCTATTAATGATTTTTTGAAGGAAAAAAAAGGAAAAGAACATCAAGTGAGATGAGTCACTCAAGACTATATTTTTTCAAGGTTATTGGTTCCTATGAGAATAATCTATCTACTAATTTATACCAATTACAGACACCTTTCTTTCTTTCTGTTGTATAATAATAGCCAATGGTGTTGGATGATTTAAATCTGTTTACATCATATATGTTTTTATGTTTTGTTCTATTCGATATGCATGAATAATTCTCATGTACACGTTTTATGTTGTAAGTTTCAGTTGTGTTTTTCTTCTATACTCGTGATATTTTTCTCGCTCCCTCGTTGATTTTATGTTGTTTTTTTTTCTTCTTTTTTTTTTCTTTTTTTGTTGATGATAGTTTAGACACACAAACGTACAAGAAATAATAATACACGACAAATATCATATTTTATCAAGTATTTGAATAAATTCTTACGTAATGATTCCAAAAAAAAAGTTCTACGAACGTCCAGGTCTTTGGAAAATTGTATTGGCCATTGCTCTTTTTTTTGCATTTCTTGCTTTTATTCTTGGTATGAATTTAGAAAAAGATTTAAAGATTAAGAACTAAAATATCTATATATATATATATATTTGACTTTTCTTAGGATGGGTCGGTTTTGGTGTACCTGATTGGCAAGCATTTAGACGTAATAATAGTACTGTACAAGAATTTTATGGTCTTTGGGCATATTGTCAACAGTCACCTCCTCTTTATAGTACTAATTGTAGACATTGGTCAGATGCTGCAAATCAATTATATAATGGTAGTCGACCAAATTTTATTAGTACTGCCGATGGTCTCATCACTACTGGCATGATATTTCTTTCTTTGGGTCTTATGACTGGTATATTTGCTGCTATTCTTCCATTAATATCGTATCTAGCTGGTGTCTTAACTTTTCTTGCTTTTCTTTTCATTATTATTGGTTTACCAATATTTGGTCAACAATCAAATGATTTTTCTAGACTACTAGGTGATACATCATATAATAAACGTTATGGTTTTTGGCTTATGGTTCCAACAATTATATTTTCATTTATAGCTGCAATTCTTTTTGTAATTGGTGCATATTTATATCAAAAATATGGTTTTGGTAATATAGCAACACACGCTTATACTCGACATGCCCATGGTGGTCAACAATTGCTTGGACCAGCAAATATACTTCCTGGAATGCCTTATGGAATGCGACCTGGAATGATGCCATATCAACCTCCACCAGTGGCTCCAGTAGTACCATCTTTACTTTCACAATATATAGCCCGACGTATGCCTCGATATTATGGTCCAACAACTGTACGACGTACAGTTGTTTCTGCATTTCCACAACCTTCTACTGCTGGAGCTAGTGGACAACCAATTTACGTAACACCAGCTTATTATAGACCCTCTGTACTACAACCAACATATTCAAATTCAAATTCAGTGAATCTCACTGGACAACCAGTTGTTACTCCAGCTGTACGCGTTTCTTAATATTTTTCATTAAAAAAAAAAAATAATAATAATAAGAACTCAGGAGCAAATAATTAATAAATACGATCGCTATTTTTTGTATTCGTGTGAACTTTCTTGGAATTCATATTTTCTCGTTTTATTTTTGATTCTATTTATTTTAAATTGTGCACAATATACTATGTAAAATAACAAAAAAATATCTGATAACTGCAATAATATTCAAAAACATGGTATCTGTGTTTTTTTTTCTTTTGTGATTTCTTCAAAATAATAGATTCATTTTGCTTCTTCATGCTCAAAAAGATTCAAGAATATTCTTGATTATAAACAATCTTTCTGTCTTTTTGTTTGTATATTTTAACATTGAATATGAACTAAAAACCTTGATATCAATATATATGAATATTCTCTTTTCATCATTTTAAAATCATTAGTTATATAATGTTGAGCAATAAGTTATCATTTTTTTGAATTTATACGAGAAGTGTGAAGGAGAATCAGGTCATCGAAGGTGCATTTATCTATATAAGGACAAAACTATCGCTCAATATTTCAACACACATTCTTTCTTCTTCTTCTTCTTCTCATCGATCGACGAATTATCAAATGTCATAGATAGATATAACTATCCCCCTTTCTTTTAACAATAACATCTAGCTAACTATGTAGATGATCATTAAATCAGAATCTATGAAAAAAAAACATTAGACAAAAATAAGTCGATTCCATCAGGGCAGATTAGCAATATTTATATATATATATATATATATCTTATCAGAAAAAAAAGAAAACCGACGAAAGGAAATGAGAACTTGATGTGTAAGCCTGTCTTTTTTCTATGAGTATGTGCTTTACAATATGAGGATCAACAAGACCAAACTGAAAAAAATAGAGAATATAACCGGCACAAATATAATTCTCTCTAGCTGTGTATTTTGCCGCCTTTGCTTATTCACCTTCACGTGTGCATTTAAGCATCTCATACAATCAGAATTACTCTGCTTTTTCTGGGTAATGTGCCATGTTTATTACCTTTTTTTTCTCGTGCACTTCCTCTCTATCTCTCTTACGTTCTCGTTTTCTTGAGATTGATGAAATCCATCATTGTCTCATTTTTCTTACTGTGGCCATCGGACGCTAATAAAGAAGTCTATACTCATAGTGTTATAATATTAGTGTCAAATTGATAGGACTATGTTCTATTCTTATTGATTATAATAACAATAGAAAAAAAGGTTAGAATATAATAATTAAATTCTTTTAGTCAGGCGAGAAAAAAATCATATTATAACAACATGGCCATTTTTTTTCCTTACTTTCTATTTGACTATAATGTAGATTAATAATAACCTCCGCGTATTATTAAAAAAAGAAGAAACTACTATTGACTTATTACTCCTGCTGTGCCTTTGATTATTCTCAATGTCATTCTTTAATCTCTTTTACTCTATTTGTGT